TGATCTCAAGGGGCGGGCGGACACATATACAGGATACAGGAGCTTCTGTGTTGAAGTTGCCAGGGAGTTGGGAACGTTAGCTTGTTGTTGAGCTCTCAGTGCCTCTTCCTTGAGACTGAGTCTGAATTTTGGCTCTGGGATTGGGCTTTTATGTATGGATCCAGCATCCAGATTCTTTCTTTCGCCTTCACAATTATTCTTGTCAATAGAAATGATCCTTCTTATCTGAGTACAAGGAATTTCTTCTTTTATGAACTTTGGGATTGGAAAGGCAGCACAACCTATCTTTGATGCAAAATTTGAACTTGGGACTCAGAAATTTATTTCAGTGAAAATCAGTGCTTTCTGCAGGGAAGAACTTACTAGCACATACACCCTGCCCTCTGGCCCTATTTTATATGGGTTTATATTCTTCATTACCCATGGTGTTTGTCATGTCAAGTAGGCCAAGCCAATGTACCTTCTCCTTCCATTCAGATATCAAACTCAAACATATGAAACTGCTAATAGAACACCAAATTATGTGTTGAATTTGCCCAGTGCTGGCTACTCTGACAGTGACTACCATGAATTGAACCTGAGAGATTATGAGCATGTGTTATACCAGAGTCATGTGCCCTCTGCCACTTACTAACAATCTGTGGAAAGGATTTCATACTTGACCAAAAATACCCATGCAATCACACTAACAACTTTTAAAGAAATGCTCTATATTGTCTCCGATATTTTAAAAAAAGACAGTAATTTTCCGGAAAGTGTTACCACAAATTATTGTCTTGGTTAGACTGGGCTTCATGCAATCTGTCCCTGAAATTTGCAGATTCTGATAAGAGTAAAAAGTTAGTCCTGCTCAAAGATAGTACTGCTTCACACTGATCCCTTTAATGCTGCTGATGTTAAAATTCTAAGCAGAAACAGACTTAAAGAATATTCTTGAGAGTGTGTCCTGGTTCAAGTGGCAATTGGACAGTTGTTCTTACAAATATCATTCTCACTTAATGTTTTAGAGCAGTGTTGTGTTTAGTGTTCTTATGCTAAATTTAAGTAGGACTAAGTTCAAGGAGACTTAAACAGCCTAATTATGTGCAGAATGGCACCCCACATGGAAAGCTAATCTGCAAAGAAAAGGATTTCATATGTACACTACTGGAATTCAGCATCTGTATGTGTGTAAGGGGACCATCCTTTGGGACACAAGGCTTCCAATGCAAGCCTCCAGAGTTCAAGTTTCATGAAAATATGAGATTCACAGACGGAAGAACTGAGGAATACAATCGATAGTCCCACAGCAATAATAATATATACCCTGACATTGTTTTAAACAGCACATGTTTCAACTTCCTCCTGGAAGCACAGTGTATTACAAGAATCCACTTTTATGCATGTGACATGGAGTTATGTATGACTCACACAACTTAAATGAAGTTTTATACATCAATTTTAACATTTCATTTCTGAAAGCACTCTGCTGTTTTTATCTGCCACTTGTACAATCATTCATGGGGCCTAATTTATAGTTATACCAAACTTTTGAAGTTGTGAGCCAGGATTGATATCAGTATGATATATCCTACAAGACATCCTTAATTTTCCTATTTTATTTATTAGATTTATATCCCATCCTTTTTCTTTTTTAAAGAACTCAAAGCAGCTTACCTCATTCTCCTCTTTCTGTCTCAATCTTATCATCACAATAACAGTCCTGTGAGGCAGGTTGAGCTGATGGTCTGGAACTGGTTCAAAGTTACCCAGCTGGCTCCATGGCTGGATCCTAAATCATGTCAGTCCTGTGTTCTTGACCAATATACCACACTGGCTCTCACTAGTATCTCTTCAGTGTGGATCAATATGATAACAAGCGTCAAACTTGCTTGTCTCTTATTACATATTTACATACATTGAAATCCTATACCCACTAACCTGGAAATAAGTCTCTAAGTTCTAAACAAACAAACAAACAAAGAATTTCATTGTTAGTGGTTTTGTTCCAAAAACATTTAGATATAAACATAATTGTATTCAGTTCTGGAAATAATTCAATATTCAAGTGATTGTGAAAGTTCTGATAAATTTACAGAAAGTTCTGTAATTTAGTAATTAGTTTGATAAATTATTTAGCAAGCATATCTACTTATACAGTAAAAAGGATAATAGGAAAGAATAGTAGCTGATATATAGCAGCTTCTAAACAGTAAATGTAAACATGTAGACAAGCAGAGTTTCATATATTCTCTTGCCACCATTAATGCATTAAATACTTTATTAACATTCAACCATAAGAAAAGCCATGCCGGATCAGACCAATGGGCCATCCAAGTCCACCAATCCATTCACACAGAGGTATACCAGCTGCCCATAGGTCCCATAGGCAAGGTGTGTGCAAGAGTTTACCCTACCCAGGCTCCCTAGCAACTGGTGTACACAGGCATACTCTCTCTGAAAATGGCAGAAAAATACAGCCAACAAGATTAGCAGCCACTGATAGCCTCCTCCTCATCCATGAGTTTGTCCAAGCCATTTTTAAAGCTGTCCGGTACTAACCATCAGTATTTCTTGTGGCAGTGAATTCCATAGTTTAAACATGCACTGTGTAAAGAGGGTCTTTCTTTCATTAGTCTTGAATCTACCACCAATCCTCTTCTTGGGAAAGCAAGAAAAATGTTGTCTCTTCCACTTTTTGCCGAACATGCATAATTCTGTGCACCTCTATCATGTCTCCCTCTGTATTGATGATCTCAAAGAACTCTAATAGTGAGACAAGCCTTTGCAGAGGCCATGTTAAGTCTTTTTCAGCAGGGTCTGTCCCTCTGTGTGCTATTCTATCTTTAATAATGCTTTCCACCAATTTATCTAGAACAGACTTTAAGCTAAGCAGATTGTATTCTCATGGATCCCATTTTTAAGAATTGTGTTGCATCCAGTGCTCTCATGCAAAGGCTGATCTTAGGAACATATTACATATTTTTGTTAAAAGGCCAGCAATTTAATAGTTGAACTCTTTAAGAATTATAGTATGGGTTGGGTGCTTCAATAATGTTCAGTTTAACAAGAAGGTTGAGAATGTCATCTTTTGTCACTAGTATCTGCCTTAATTCCCCAGACTCTCTTTCTGAAAATATAAGTTCTGGAACAGGTATCTGTTCTGTGTCCTCTGCTGTGAAGACGAATGAAAAGGATTCATCCAACTTCTCTGCAATCTCATTATACTCCTTTAGTGCTCCTTTAATTCCATTATCATCCAAAAGTCCAACTGCCTCTTCAGGTTGTTTTTCTCCTCTGATATATTTAAATAATTATTTATTGTTACCCTTAGAAATATGTGCCTCAAAATGTTTCTTTGATTCTCTCTTATTGCCTGCTTGAATCCTCCTTGTGCTCCCTTTTGCTTTCCTCATCTGGGAAAGACTTTCATTTCTTGGAGATAACCTTCTAATAGCTTCCTTGACTCTGTCTGTTAAGGTTATGTTTTGGCACTTCACCCTTTTTGACTGGTTATATCTTGTCATGTGCTTGTGGCTTATTTCCTCTCCTCCTACATTTTGGCAATCAAGAACTTTTTCCTCATCATCCCCTAAGGATGATTTAACTTGAACTGGATGCATCCCAGCTCCTACCAGCTTTTATCCAGGGTTCAGTTTAAAACTTGCTTACTTTTTTTTTAATATGTGCCAGCAGTATAGTTCCATTTTAGTTCAAGTGCAGCCTGTCCCTCCTATATAAAACCCAGTTTCCCCCAAATGTTTGTGTCTAACGGATCTGAACCCCTTATATGTTAAAACAAGCACCTTAAAGTGGGCCCAGAGTGCAACTGGTGACCAATTAAAGTGATATAACATTGGAGTCACATGGACACACAAGCCTGCTTGCACCTGAAGTCACACCGCTGTTTTGTACCAGCTGAAGTTACTTTTTACTCTAGTGTAGGACATGGCCCCCAGTCCAGGCTGGGACATTAGCATGGGTGGTGGTTAAGAACCAAATGGGTTGGATCCTTGTTATTACTCTAGAGCAGGGGTCGGCAACTCGTGGCTCCGGAGCCGCATGTGGCTTTTGAATCCCTCTGCTGCGACTCCATCGCTCAAAACACGTGCCGGCACAACCGCCTATCTGCGAGCTAAATCATGATGAAGATATGCATAGCATTAAGGTAAAAAACGATATATGCTGTGTTATCTTCATTTTAGATGTCAGAAGGGTTTTGTGGCTCCAGGTGTTTTCTTTTGTGTGGGAAATGGGTCCAAATGGCACTTTGAGTGTGAAAGGTTGCCGACTCCTGTTCTAGAGTGAAAATGGAAGGAAGACCTAGCTGTTAGGCATACTTTGATGATGCAATCACACGAACTTTTAGACAAAACGAGGTCCTACAACTGGGACATGCTTCCTGGGGGATACTGGGAGCTGTAGACCTTCTTTCCGTCCAAACGGCTGCATCTTTAAAGTATGGCCTGTTTCACAGCTGACTCACAGCGATGGGGAGGAAGATGATTGCGTTTCTCCAATGGGGAAGAGGTCGAGGGACTTTGAACTTGCTTTGCGGCACAGTCTTGTTTCTTCCCATGCTCCTCCGAAGGCCCAGATTGCGCTAGCAACAGCGCAGCATTGGGGGGGGGGGGGCAGGAAGCCTTCCTTGCAGGCGCCAACCAACCCAGCCTCCGGCCACCAGGGGCAGCTCTGTCACGCCGAGGTCCTCGACCCAGTAGTTCCCTCTCCCGTGGCAAGCGGAGTGGGGCTGGGTAAAGAGAAATCACGCTTTAGCTGTTGGCGGGAGAAAACAAGAGTCGTCTTTCTGTTTCCGTTTCGCTTTCTTACCGATTATTTTGAATGTCAGCTAGTCGAGGGAATTGGAGGCAAGTCGGCCGCCGCCAGGTAAGAACGTGCCCTGTTTCTCTTGCCCGCCCGTCCGCCGGCCGTAGGGGCTTCCAGACGACCCCTCCGCTTTACCTGGCCCTTTACTGAGTCTTTGCGCCCGGCAACGCCGCGGCGCGCTTCCCGGCAGGACCACGCCGATCCATCGCCCCTTCTCAGTCCTTGGTCTGAAGGAAAAGAAAAGCTGCTCTCTCTCCTGCAGCCAGACACCAACCAACACGACCGGACCCGGCAGCACGCCCGGCACCAGGAACAGCCCCTCCGACTTGGCACTCGCACTGGTCCCACGAGCCTTTGATGGCTGAGCGAGGCAGGAAGCGGTCGCCCTATTTGCCGGAGCCGAACACAGGATCCTCCTCCTGCTCTTCCTTTTAGCCTTTTGAAAAAGCCGCGCTTTTCAAACTCGCCAGGGGCGCTCCGTGCATGAGGCAGTCCCCCCATCCCACGCAGTAAACGGTTTCTGTTGAATTTCTGCCTGTAGTAGAAGGCACTAAAGGTGCAAAACCAGAGTGGTGTCTTGGGATACCCTGAAGCTCGGTTAGACTAAGGGCTGCAGTCCTTATACAAGGAGTAACTCTAATTGAATGCAATGAAGTGTGAGTAATGTATACGGTTGTACTGTAAGATAACTACCTCTCTGAAACTTGCTAAATGCTTAGAGCTTTGTGAAAGAAATTTGGGGTGCAGGAGACAAATCCCTGTAATCACCCAAAGAGGGGATGGTTAATGGGTAGCTGTCTTTTCTTACCTTGACTGTATATTGAGAAGACATTTCATATTGAAATAACCCTAACCCTTAAGGCCAGATTCTCCAAGCTTTTCAGACCAGAAAACAGATTTGAATTTCCAGGTAAGAGGGTTGGGCACCATCAAACCGTTTGAAGTCAAACCCTGCTGGATCACCCCTGAACTCTCTTACACAGGCAGATTCATGGATGGACAGGCAAGCTATTCATTCATCTCACACCTCTCCCATCTCTCATTGGTTTTCTTCCCACTCCCCTCACCCAGTCTTTGTTGTACCCAGCCAACTTTCCCCGTTCTCCTCACCTCCCTGTTTCCTTCCTGGTTCTCCCAGAAGCAAAAGTTTATGCAAGCAGCATCCGCCTCCCAGATTGCGCTTGGCGGAGGATTGTGAGAGTAGTCTGATGGCTGTGAACAGTGCGTTGTTAACCTAAGCTATAAAGCATTTATATCTTAAGCTAATAAGAATTGGCTACATGTAAACATATTGCCTACTTATGAAATAACAAAAATCACTTATACACTATTAAAATAAATACCTTAGGTTTGCCTTCCCAAACTAAGCCCTTTCCAGATGGTTTGAGCATCAGATTCTGTGAACACCAGCCAGCATGGCCAATGGTCTGGGATTATGAGATTTTAAATCCAAAACATCTGTAGGGCACCAAACTTGATAAGGTTTTCTGATGGATGGCTCCTAGCTCTACCAGTGTTCAGTTACTCTGTCTTATCATCCTTAGTATATTTTAATTTATTTTATTGAGGTCAGAAAAATGACAGAAGGTAACAAATTGAATAAGATGATGTATATAAAATAGCTCTATAACATTTCTTTACTGGAAAAAAAAGTCAGCTTGAGAGATTTTGAGACAAAACGCCAATTTTCAGTGGCTGTTCTTTGCTTTTATTGCTTTTAAAAACTTACAGGGAACCAGTTACTTGGAACTATTAATAGTTTTATCTAGACCCACAAATAACAAGGAAGAGGATATGATGTATTTCATACACTGTTGCAACTCATACTTGGATAAATATACAGTAAACATTGTCAACCTGTCATTGCAGAAATCCAGTTGTCTGGAAAACAATTTTGTAACTGTAATGTAAACCTAAAAGGGTGGCAGACTGCAGGAACTACAGAAGAACAGGTGAAAAACTGGACGTAGGAAGACAACATGAGTGCTTCTGGAGGAAGTTGTGGAAGTCCCAATTCTGCAGAACTGACTGGTGACCACTTCAAGGAACTGTGGTCCAAACTGAAGGAATGTCATGATAAAGAAGTAAAAGGTAATACTGTAGTTATCCATTAGTGTATCTAATGCTTGGGAAAAGGATTGTCAAGCCAGGTATTCCTGAATTAGCAACCTCAGGACATGCACATTTTTATCGAATAAAAATACTACAAAGCCACTTTGTTCATTTAAGTCTAAAGTCTATTTAGACTTTTATGAGTTTTGAATTAGGTGGTTGGGGTTGAAGGTAATAATTCTGTATTTTTACCAAACAAATACAATATAATTATCAACTGACTTTTGGGTATTGCTTATTGCTCTCACCCTATCAATAATCCATCAATCTATTTTTTGCTAGAAAGTGTATACAGGCAGTCCCTGGATTACAAATAACATATGCTTACAAACAAACTGCCATTTTTTATTTAATTCCATTTCTATGCTGCCCTATAACCCAAAGGTTCTCTGGGTTGCTTACAATACTACAAGATCAAATTAGTCATAAATACAATAAAACAATTAATCATATGAAAGATAAAACAATAAAATAAAGTACCTCAAATAATATATTCACACATACCAGTAAACACAACCAACAAATTAACCAAAATTAAGATTAAAATCCATAACAAAATGTAAAAGTATTAAATTAAATCAACTAAAAACTTGCTTAAATAAAACAGTTTTCATGTGGTGCCTAAAGAAAGAAGAGTAGGCAGCAGGTGGATATCCCTGAGGAGTGAATTCCATTGTCTGGGCACTACTTCTGAGAATGCCCTCCTAGCCCTTTTCCTTTTGATCTCCCTTTGGGAGGGCACATGGAGGAGGTCATCCGAAGAGGATCTAAGTGGATGGGTAGGAATATATGGAGAAAGGCACTCCCTCAGGTACCTGGTCCCAAGCCATTTTACGCTTAATATGTCAAAGCGAACACTTTGAATTGGGCCCGGACTGAAAGAGGGAGCCCATGCAGCTGATGGAGGACTGGTATAATAAGTTCTTGCTATAAGACCTATTAATTAAAGAAAATGAGTTAAAGGCTTAATACAGGAAATTGTCACCAGAGAGAGGGGGGAAGCAAAAGGGGAGCAAAGGAGGGTTCCAAAGCATGCCTTCTTCCCCTGCCCATCCTGAGAGGGAAATCTCTCTGGCATTTCTTTGTTGCAAAGACAAGAGTGAATTTGGAGGAGGGAGGCTAGAGATTTTCATGGGATTTCCACTTTCACAGGGGTCCTGCACCCCAAACCCCCGTGAAAGCGGAGCACCAACTATATATGATGTGACTTGCATACACATTTGACTTAAAGACAAATTTCAGCATGAGGGAGGCACAAAGGAGCAGTAGCAAGGAGTCTTCATACAGTTGGCTTCTGTATGCGGAAAGAATCTCCCAGTTTACATCCAGGATCGCTCACAATACAGTATCAGGATCCAGTGAGCAGCAAGACAACCAGCAGCATACTACACTTCACCTGGCATGCTAGCCTATACCACAGACGCATAGTCAGATATTAGCAATTTGTTTCAGTTATGCTGTTGCCTTTTTGAAAAGCCATTGCTAGGTCTATTAGTGATACTGATGAAATTAATGGGACAGGTTAGGGTCCAGGAGGCAAGGTAGAATTTTTTTGCCCTGTTTCATGAAACAGTTCTGCCTAACATCTACTAAAATGCATGAGGAACTGATGTTTGCTTGATTTGAGGTATCTGCTCTCACAACCATTACTGTAAGCTAAAGAACCCTTGTATAAACTGGCAGAAGCAACAAAGTGTGAAGCAAAAGCATTTACTCTGATTTGCTTCAGAATTTTCTGAAGCAAATCAGAAAATTGTATTGAATTGTATTGAATTAAAACAATATTGTATTGAATTAAAACAATATCAAGAAATCTATCAAAACCATTTTACAACCATTTTACATTTTAATAAACATTAAATAGTTTATTACATTTACTATGTTTATTAACACTGTAATAGTTAAACATGAAAAATTAGCTTTACTCTTCTTGGCTTGGTTTGTTCCTCAGCTGAGTTTTTAAAGTGGGTGGTATGTCATCAGCAGAGCACATGCTGAGACATCATCAGCACAGAATTTGGCAATCTAAGGAGTGTCTGTATGTCCTGGAGCCAAATAACAGAAAACTAAGTTTTTAAATAGGCTGTCTAATGGCTGTGTGTAATGGTTAGCACAAAATTCATTAGAATTTTTGGAAAAAGTCCTTGCAAGTAATCTTTTAAAATACACTAGAGAGAAGTACATTTGGTAAGAAATCCCATTGAAAAGAAGGTGATTTCTGAATAAACTTGGTTCAGTTGGCTGTAGGCGTGTCAGTGCAGTTTTGCCATAAGGCAGACTTTTTCATGCCTCAACCTTTGTTACTGCGTTCTACACAATGCTTGCTGGAATTAGTTCCTGTGTGATTACATCAAAGACATGCCTGAAGGATGGTTAATTTTGCAAAAGGTGGGGATTGCTCCAGTAGAACCAGTGATATTTAAGACACATCAAACGCAGGCTTGCCTGGACTTTCCATATTGCTGAAGTCTATAAATAAGAATTAAATCTGACTCATGAATTTTCAATTCTAAATGTCAGCAAAGTATATCTTATATAAGACCATAATCAGAAAAATAAGTAACCAACACGGTTGTGCTGTGTCTTTTTGTTTTCTGTGTATAGCCCTCATCCTTATTAAGAAAACAAAGGATGACATTGTATGTCTTTTAGGTTTTTTTAAGGTTTTAACAGAATGTGGCTGAGCAAAAGTAGATCACAACTAGAATATCATGCTTGCTTCTAGCTGACTTGACTTGAGATAGCTTCATTTGGGGTGTAGAAATGGCCATGTTTTATATCTGCTTTAGTACATTTCTGTGCCTTAAATTGAATACATTTACATTTTATTGTGAATGAACTAACAAGCCTGATGATTCAAAAAATTTTTTTAAAAAGGCACAAGATATTAAAATGGCTATGAATGTTTCACTTAAATCTAGAGTAGAACTGTGAATTCTATTGATAATATGAATTATTTTTAATTATTTACAAGATTCATATACCACTCTGCATTCTAGTGCCATTTTAAGACAGAATTGAGATGGGCAAGGTGCTTAGTGCTCCCTCTACAATATTAGAAAACTTGGCTATTTTTCCTACAGCCACCTTCTGTCAGTTCTGAGAACAGAAATTAGCCAAATTTGATGGGAGAAGTTTCTCCTTGAGGAGAGCACTACAGATAAGAATTGGTAGACAGGGAAAGGTAAGCAAGCCCCTTCTCATTGTCCTATTTGTCCAACATATGTTGTGTGTTCAAGCATGATCATTGTTTAGAAAACCCTCTACTCTTTGTACAAGAAATCTAAATTCCATAAATAGGCTTTCAATTTTTGTCTATGTAAACATTCAGCTTTCCATGTAAGGCATTTATTGTGCACTCATAATTCATCAGTAACAGTAATTTGAGAGCGCATTAAACCATGTAATCCTCTACAGCTTTGCCACCATTTTCATGTTTCTGTTTTTTGTTTGTTTTTTCTAACAAGGCAAGTATGGTATATTTCTGAAAGGTGGCATGGGACCTTCATCTACTTGTCCTCTTTGCTATATCATAGTGCTACCTAGTGGTTGTGCAATGGAACATATAAATAAGCAGAGAACTGGGTTGAGGGGGAGAAGGTGTGTGAAGGAGTTCTATCCCATAAAGAGCCTAGAAACAGAATCCATGGTAAAGTGTCAGGTTAAAAACCTAGTGCAGAAAAGCCCATAAGGTTGGATTCAGACTAAGTTAATTGAATTTAGGCATCACTGAAATCAGTGAGACAGGTTATGTTACAACTGACTTGACCCATTAGCAGGATTTAAGCTGAGTTCACTTAATCTGGATATAACCTGTAACATACTGTAGGGTGTGTTTCAGTTTAGTTTAACCCAAATGAAAATTGTGTGAAGAGATGCAATAATGGTACATTTTGTTCTTACCATGCTTTTAGGGCATTTTACTTTCTGGTGAGTTACACATACCAGTGTGTATCTGTTGCTGAATGTTCATAACATAGAAGGGCAGCAATTTAAGGCAGATCTACTTTAGTCATCACACATCCATCACCCCATTGGGTGTAATCTGGTATAAGCACAAATGTCTCACCTTTGATTAATACCAGTCTGTTTTACTGAAGGAGAGTAGTGAAGAAAAGTCCCTGCAAAACAATTTTTGTAGTGTTGGTGTGTATACACAGTGTTGAATGGCTTACATTCAACAAACAATACCGGAATTCCAACTTAATGCTTGAGAATTACTTCAGGAAAAAAAATTGAAACACTTTGATAAGTTTAATTGTTCCTGAATTCAGAACTAGTGATACTTAATTATAGCATTGTCTTGTAAGCATTGCTGCTTCAGGTTGCTAGTATTACAATACCAAATCCCATGCCAAACAGACAACCTGTTCTTACAGGAGCCTCATTGTTGTATAGCCTCATTTTATCTGATGGGTGCGGAGAAGGATTAAAGCACTTTACAGGGGTCTTAATGCCAGATATCTGATTTGTTAGATAACAGTCATATTTTAAGAAAATACCTTCTTGTCTGATCTCTATGATGAATATAGTGAGTTTCTAATGTGGAGTGCTTGTAAATAAGAGTAGTCCTTTCCTACTTTCTTCAGATTGCATTTTGAAGTAGATTTCATGCATTTTCTTTTCTGCCATTCTGCAGTAAGGGTCCATTACTTTCATTTTTGGCAAGATGATTGCTGTTCAAACAAAAACATTTCCAATCATTGATGCAATTGCATAAATAAAAAATTGGGATACCAATGTATTAAACAACTCAAGGGTAGTTAGGAATAAGACAGGATGATTTCAACCTAACTTCATGGCAGGGTTTTGGACTGAGGCAGCCCTGATTTGTGAAGGCAGAGGTCCACATATTTTTGTCCAGCCTGGCCAGTGCTTGTGGTTGCAATGAGCTCTCCATAAGGGACAGGGACTTAGCTATGACCAGTAGAAGAGGACAAGTGTGAGACTGATCCTGCAACCATGCTTCATTTTTTTTTCTCCTTTCTATCTGGAGTGCCAGTCTTAGTCATGAATGGCTGCTTGGGCTGTGTGAAAGTGAAGAAGCTGAAACTCAATTCAAGCAAGATAAAGTAGCATCTGATGGTTATTCCTTTGGCTGAACAAGAGGCGAATTTGCCTGTCCATGATGGTGCCATACCGTTGGGCTGGACTGCGCTGTAGGCATGCTCTTGAATCTAGGCCACTCCTGAATTTATCAGGTGAAGGCTTATTACCCTGGGCAGATACCTCAGTTGTATCCTTTCCTTTAGTATTTTAAGTAACATTTTCCTTTACAGGGAATAGAGTCTTTTCAGTGGAGGCTCACTAGTTGTAGAACTCTTTTGTTCAAACTACATCACATCCCTCTGCATTTGGGAGAGCAAAATGAAGACTTTTCTTTTTAGACAAACATCTCATCTGTGGCTGAAGTTGATGAGTGTTTTAACTTTACCTTTTTAGATATTTTGTAGCTTGCATATAACTTTCTAAAAATGTTGCATTTTAGTGAATTAACTTGTTTTATTGTTTTAGAATTAGCCATTGTGAGAACTGAAATAATTTAAAAGCAAACTGTAAAGTCTTAAATGCTTTTTAAAAACTGTAGTTCAGCTCTAAAACTGTGGGTGATTTCCTTTTATCTGTGCAAACTAATTCTTCTTTGTCTTTAATTTATCATGGAATGTTTGAAGAGAAATCCTTGATTTTCTGTTTTTCCTTCATTAGGATTACTTTCAAAGATCTCCAAACTGAAAACAGAACGGTGTTTGTAAGTATTCACTCATACGCAATAAAAATATTCTGAATTTAAAAGGAAATAGTCTTGATTCCTTAACATCTTGAATTGGCAAATACATGTGTGAGGTCTTCCCACTAAAGATCCTTTTGTCAAGTTTGTAATACTATTGTTTAAAATCTTGTTGATATTGTGTCTTTTTCTTGGGCGTAGTTCAAATGAACTGTTGAAAACTTGTTTATTTTTTTCTGATTGTGTTTTCTGAACTTAGCTACTATAACACAAATGTACAAGCTAATTAGATTCTGCTTGCAGAGCAGACCTCTTTTGTCACTATTATATTGTCTTTCATTCTTCCTGTTCTCAAAGAGTTTCTAATGTTGTCCAAACTTAGCAAGAATTTTAGAAATATTAGACTAGATTAAGCACTCTCAAGTCACAGTTTCTGCCTTATTTCAATCTCAGTGCCATGTTGTGTTTTCCCACTTTTCAGAGTTCTGCTTAATCCTACATATGTGCATGCTGAATTATAATTAGGAATGTACTGGATATTCCTAGGCTATCAACCTATCATGTATTATAAGTACTATTTTCATTTTTATACCATCCATACTTTCCATTTATCATTTGCAGGTCTGTGTACTGACAGACCTGTATTTCATTTTGCTGTTTTATTACTTAGTTTGTACATACTCCATGGTGTTCCAGTTCTAAATGTTATAGCCTATCTACCTGCAGAATAGTTCCCTCTTGTACATCTGTATTCAAGCCAGTTTGCCCAGTTTAGGTTCAGAATTCTTAAACAGCATATTGGATACATCATTAAAATCTAAATAAATTGAAATTGCTACATGTATTTCAGAAAACTGAAGCTATGACAGGGTTTAGTTTATCTTACAATTTACCAGGGCTCAGCCATGAAATAATTTTACCGTTCCAAGACTCAACCCTGTAATAATAGAAGAACAGATTAAACAAAGTGCTCCTGAGGAAGAACATAATATTTCCTTTATTACTTAACTTCCTAGAGCACCCATAAACTCAGTGGGGGAATGAATCTTAGGATTTCGTGATCAGTGTGTGGTTTTCCAGGCAGAGCCTTGGTATCTCTCTATATATTAACCAGTATAATTTAAGCAATATAACCTTTACACTTATTTCAAAGCGCAAGATCTGTTCAGAATGAGTTTACGAGGCAGTATTTCTTACAGCATGTAGCAGTTATTTATATTAAAGGTTCAGAGCTACTGTATGTACATTTACCTGGGGAAAAGTGACACCAAACCGTTGAATCTACTTCTGAATAAGGTTGGACAGGAAAAGGAATTATCATCTACTATGCCCATTCCTATTTGTATGCAAATTAGCAAAAAAAATACAGCTTCCATTTAGACTTTGATTTTTTCTGGTGATACTTGTCATACATAACACTTTAGTATATTCTTGCATGTTTCTGTGTCCATATTAAAAAGCTTCTATCTTGGTTAGTTCAGACTTGATAACAGAGGGATATTAATTACTTTTTTGTTGTGATTTAATACATACAAACCTAAAAGGCTTAATTATTGTTTGCTGGATTCATCCCACAAATACTGCATTGTAGATACAATACTCTTCTATAGAAGTTCTTGTTCTCTCTAACTCTTCTTGACTATCTAAGGTTTAATATTTCAGAGCTGATAAGAGCCAAACAATGAGCTCCTTATGCTGCATCCTGGTTCAACATTGAAGCTAATGGTCTTGCAAATGTAGGATCAGGGTCATTCATTAGAAGGACTATTTTCCTACCCAAAGAGTCAGTCAGTTTTGGCAACTGGGACCTGCATAAACTATTTTCTTTGCCACCTTTTCTTTTCACTTTTTATTTGGTGCTTAGAATGTGGATCACATTTATATCTATCCCACTTTTTTATTTTAAAGAACTCATAGCAGCTTACACAATTCTCCTTCTTCTCTCAATCCTATTCTCAAAACAACCACCCTGTGAAGTAGGTGCGGCTGCGAGTCTATGACTGGCCCAAGGTCACCCAGTGAGCTCCCTGATTGCCTGAGTCCCAGTCCTGCACTTTAACCACTACATCACACTTTCAGCCAACTGATCCTAACCACATTTAGTAAGTAGTAAGTCAGTTCAGTGTTCAGTGAGTGATTGGCCCATGCAGCCTTACATTGTGCTTGCTTATTCAGAAATATGACCCTATGAGTTCAGTGAGATTTATGCACAGGTAAGTGTGACCAGGATTTCTGCTGTAATTTAATATTGATCACTACTACTTTTAGCAGAACATAGTTGAGCGCTTGCAGTCCAACATGTTTGAAAGGCACCAGGTAGAAGAAGGCCATGCTTGATGGTATAATAATTTACCATGGTCCTGTGCAACTTGTGATTCACCAAGCCAATCACAGCCTATCAACCATGTATTGCAGCTTTGGCATCCTTCATACTTTTTTTATACTCAAGCCAGGTATCAAAAAGAAGAGGCTTACACGCCCTGGCCAGTCAGTTACACTGGGTGGGTCAGAGTTATGCATTTCTGATATAGTACTAGGCAGCCACCTTCACCACTAGCCCAGCTCCTGTTCTTTCTTACTTATTTAGGAGATTTATAGGCCGTCCATCACTGTCGTCTCTGGACAGCTTACAGAATATTATTGGATTTTATTGTTTGTATTTTATTAATACAAATTTTATCATATGAATAAATAAAAATATTTGAATCCTAAACAAAATAAATTAGCTATACCACAAACTGAGCATTAAAATGACATGTTTAAAATAAATTAGATAACTAAACATACAATTAAAATTAATTGACATTAAAATATTGATCAAGTAAAAAGGTCTTGACCTGATGCCAAAAAGCAAATAATGACAGCACCAGGCAGACCTCTCTAGGGAGCGCATACAAGAGTTGTTGCAGGAATTGGGCCCACTTCTGCCAAAATTCAAGAGGAATACTTCAGATTCTGAATCTGAACTGGAAGAAGTGATGTTGTTGGAAGGCTTAAATGAATTGCCAATGTCCACACACTGCAGGGTAAGCCAAGTGGCTGGTGAGAACCACACCATATCTGTTTGGGGGGAAACACTGTGGAACAGAGGTTTGGAGAGGGAGGGGTGTCAGTTGATCAATCCAGTGTTTTGACATACATCAGGGTCAATCTGTCTCTGACCTTCTGGCCATCTGGCTCATAAGCAGTGTGAACCTCCCTGACAGTGAAGCCAATTCTTGTTGGTGAGGAAGGGAGGAGGGGAATTTAGTTTGGAATCAATTTCAGGGCTTAGTATTTGTGGCACATTTGTGGGCTATAATCCTATGCACACTTAACTGAGAGTAAAGCCATCTTGAAAACAATGGGCATTCTCCCTTAATAAATACACAAAGGATAGCATTGCTATATTAAGTGTATCTGGTGCAACATGCCTGCACTGGGGGGTAGTATTATCTCTTTACTACAACCAAGGTTGAGAAAAATAGTTATACCATGCAATGAATTCATAGCTAAGCTGGGAGCTCAAGTCCTTAAGCCATAGCAGTTTCTGAAGGAAGCTTGGAATACTACAGGTTCCAGTTTGTTTGGAGCACAATATTGCTTTATTTGGTGCCTTCCACCCTGAAGGCTTGACAGTCCAGGACTTGAAAGACGATACACATCAATTATTGCTATTCATTGGCATTACTTTGGTATTATCCTCCCATAGTTATAATTACTGTTAATAAAATTCCCTCTCCAAGAGGTTAATTTATTAGATTTAACCAATAGCAAAAAAAAAAAAAAAAAATTAGCCTTAAGCTATTTGGGAAGAGAAGTTGTAGAGAGGTAAACAGTATGCACAAGATTATTCAGCATTCTTTATTTGCACACCTGTCTGTCATTAGAATCAGACCCACCTGTACTATCAGGCCTGTACCATGCTTAAACACACAGAACTGCCACTACTGTGTTTAATTTGATCCAGACTACAGTGTACTATCTTTTTTCTGCTGTCTAAAGCCCATCTTATTTTGTTGTATCTTATTTTCTGTTTTCCACCTGTGTCTGAAACAGCATCTTCATTTTGATTCATTAAGGGAGAGACGGAGGACCATATAAGCATGGATTCCTTGCAATAAGGAAAAACAATAAAAACAGCATTTTTAAATATCTGAGAATAGGCCCCATTGGAAACAATCGGACTTCCTACTGAGTAAAGCTGCAAAGGATTGCATTCAGAACTCTTCTGCAAACCATTCTAATGCAAAGTGTTATTGACAGACATACATATACAGAACAGATTTACCTGTTTTGGCCTGTGCTACCATTACATTCTTCTGTATAACAGCAAAAATTGCCTCTACCTTTTGCAAATTCATCTTATGTGTAATGAAAGCCAGCACACTTGTAGCTAATGTGTATTGTATTGCAGATAACAAATTTTGTTTACTAGTGGTTGTAAACTGTTTCCTGAGATACAGGGATTTGACACAGAATAAGGAAGCACCGTTATCTGTTATTCTTGAGAAACAGGGTTTCTGGCTAAAATACAGTCTCTGTAAATGAATTTGTTCTTACGTTTAGGGATGCAGAAAGGCTTGAAGAGTATTATGCCAAAAATCAGCAGCTTAGAGAGCAACAGAAAACATTGCATGACACTATCACAGTTTTAGAAGATCGGTAAGCCTGTTTTTTTGTTTTTGTTTTTTAACTTGGTCTACTGTATAGTCAACTATGGTATCAAAAATAAAAGAGAAAGCCAGATTCTTTGTGTGAGTACAGCTGAGTTTACCACAATATCCAGCATGTCAAAATTCAGTGTGTCATCTATGTACCAGAACACTTAAAACACTCCTAAACATACCTATGTGGAATAAGCCCCAGTAGTCATAGACTGAATTCTAAGCAAAATGTATAGGATCGCTCTGTTCTTTGACTTATAAAATTGCATCTAGAAATGCATCACATTTTACATATCTGCAGTTGTTTCAATACAGTGGAGTCTGAGCTGACACAGTGGCCATATTTGGATGATCATGGCTTAAACTATGGTATAAATAAGTGTATCTATATCCCGTCTACTTCTTCCTTCATGGTGTGAGTAAATAAACTGAAACTATGGTTACCAGCTTTGGAACAAATAAGGGTATTAAACCATTCTTTGAAACTATGGCTAATTGAAGGCTTCCTAATTTCATCACAACTCACAAAAAATGAAGAGGAAAAGTGAATGGTGAAAAGGCTGATTCATATATTGCACACCATTGCTCATAGGACTTGGTATAGGCTCACTTGTAAGCACAAATTGCTTCATACTCCAGTAGTCCAGGAGCCAGTGTTATTTCAAATCTAATAGAGCTTTCTCTTGAGTGCTGCCCAACAATAGGCAAGTAGATATAAGTATATTAAAACATCCTTACCACACTTTTTTCAAATTGGATAATTAAAAAATTGGAATTAGACCAGAAGCATGGTTCAACAATTACAGAGCAATTACTTGCAGAGTAACCCTATGCATGATTTCTTGGAGTTTAAGTCCTGCTATGCTCAATAAACCTGATTTTCTTGTAAGTATATTCAGGATAACAGCCTTATTCTCTATATGTCCACTTCACACATCCATAAGCCCATCTGTGGACTGCTCCAAGGTATGTATAACTTTAAAAATATATTATGCTGATCTAATATGCACCTTCAAACTTCCACAGGTTAAGAGCAGGATTGTGTGATCGTTGCGCAGTAACTGAAGAACATATGAAAAAAAAACAGCAGGAATTTGAAAATATTCGACAACAAAACCTTAAGCTAATCACTGAACTGAGTGAGTTTTATTCTCTTCAAGTCATCATTCTTCTTTTATGTTTGTATTTGTGTTATTACACTCTATAGGTCACTAATGGACTAGTATTCTGCCGATCAGGGTACGTAATGCTATATCTATCTACCTGGGAATAAGATTGAACTTAAGGGGGGCAACTACAGAACAGATATGAGTAGGATTGTGCTGTTGACTACTTAGGCTTTGGACTAACTGACAAAACACCACTTGGCTTCAAAACTGTTATTATATTAAGACAAAAAAGTCCTCTGATTTATTGTCTCAGTGTTTCTGCATCCTATAAACTTCTAAGCAGTTTTTCTGTTCATACCTGTTTTACTCTTATCAGCTGATGCTGTGTGATCTTACTATGTTTTACTGGGAGTATTTTACAGTGAGAAGTGAACAGTGTATTTTATAAATAATACAGTTGAATAAAATAAATGGAAGGCTTTTTATGTTTGTTTGAAATGTCAGGGACTTCTACAAAGGGATAGGATTTGGGTAAGGCTGAACAACAATCCAAGAATTTTAGCATGATTCTGTGTATAAGTTTTGTTCACACACAGACGCTGAATATAAATACCACACTAAGTCATTGTTTACAACGCTAAAACGTGACTTGAACCTATGCTGATGTGTGAACAATGATTTCTGATTTGAAGCTGATTTACAAACTCAAAGTGTGATCTGCCATCATGTCTGAATTCGCAAATCTTGTTTTTCCCATGCCATTGCCCTGTACGTAAGCAGTTATAATTTTGTCTATAAAGAAATATTATTATATAATGATAAAGTACACTAGGAAGTAATTTGTTACAGAAGTTCACGATTAGTCAATTTAATACAATGAACTTACAAATTGCTTTGTGAAATATCCTTTTTAGTGACTGACTAGACATCCGTATTTAGAATCAAAATGAATTGTTTTGAAGTGCAAGTTCATGCAAGTTAATGATAGTTATCTAATGGGCTTGTTAAAAGGACTAATGAAGAAATAAAGCACAACTGGAATTGGTTGAGTATTTTTGTTTTATTACCTATTTCAGTGAATGAAAGAAACAACTTACAGGATGAAAATAAAAAGATTTCTGAACAGCTTCAGAAGATGCAGGAAAAGATAGAGTAAGTAGCCTTTTCTTCTTTTGTATGTATGCTGATAGATGTGGCTAAGGTTTTTTCTGGAAGTGATACACAATGATGGTGACAAGAAGGATAACCAAACCCCTGTAAATCTGTTCATACATGTTACAGTGTAACACAAGAGAGCTCTTTTCTTGGGAAGGAGAGACTTCTTACTGCTAAGCATTGCAGCCAGAAGTACCTCTGAATCTAACACGTTACAAAAAATTATCTTTCATAGTTAGAGGAGCAATTTCTCATGTTACAATGCTGAGTTCTGGACAAGTAAATAGTTGTGGGAGAAAGACATGGTGCTTCTATCTGCTTCAGAATCCAAGCCAGCCTTAGAGACCTTCTCACATGAGTTATCTGAAACAACAGGTGATTGGGAGGAAGGAACATAACAGAAGCTGCAAGTAGTCAGTGACAATATGTTCTATTGTATTTCAATGTATTTTATTGTGTTGTAAGCCGCCCCGAGGCTTCGGCAAGGGGCGGCATAGAAATGTAATAATAATAATAATAATAATAATTATTATTATTATTATTATTATTATTATTATTAAAAATCACAGATTTTGCTTGGCTAGTAAGCCAAAACAAAACTTATACTGTAGAAACTTGATAATGACTGAATAAAGTTAGGAAATCACTGTATTGACATTTCCAGTTATTTCTTTCCTGTCCTTCTGATTTTTTAATTTATCTTAGAGTACCACTGCCAGTTATCTTAGTCACCCACTTTGTTTCTGTCACACCATTCTTCTTTTTATCACCCCAGGCTTTTGCCAAGCTTACTTAGTATCTCTATGCCCCTTTGACTCTCATGTTCAAATTTCCCCCTAATTTTCAGCTCCCCTATTTCTCTCATTGTCCTTCCCAGCTAGCCCCTTAATGCAATTGAAAAGCTATAGCGTTTTTTCCCTGTCCTTTTTACTGAAGTATCTCTGTAAATCCCTGTCCTTTTTAGTCTCTGTTCTCCAACTTTGCCTGTCACCTGCTTCCTTCACTGCAGCAAGAGAAACTAAATGAGCCAGGACAACTTCACATTAGTTCATGTGAAGTTGTCCTTGAAAGTTAAACAGAGGTGGAGAAGGCTTGTAGCATTTATGTGTCTTATTAGTTTTGTTTGTTTTCCTTAGGGAACAAGAGCAATATATGGGAAATGCTATTCCAGATTCACCAGTTCAGTCATTTTCACTTTCCATGGTTAATAGAATGCGCCAAAAACGAGAGAATAGGCATATCCGATACACAGAACAAAAGTGTACAGATTCAGAGCAGACAGGAAGAAGTCATGGTATGTTGTTTTAAAATCTCTCTTTGTTCCTAAAATTGGTGGGACAAATACAGTTTCATGAATAATAGAGTTTAGTCTGTTTTCATTAGTAATTTTCTTCTGCTTATTTTTTATTTTGAAACCTCATTATCAGTGCTAGAAAATCAACAATTTCTTATGCTTACATTTTATAAGCAATTCCAGTAAGCAGTGGCTAGAGTGTATGTCCAGTTGGATGGCAATCTGAACTCTTTGCTTGATGGAAAAAAGGAAATTCTTCGTTCTTCTAAGAAACAGGTTCTAAATTCTTGCAGCTGTGTTTCTTTGTCTGAACTGTCTCATGCTACCACCTAATGGGTAGGAGAAGCATTTCAGTGCTGTTGCATCCACATATAAAAAGCAGGGGTTTCTCTTCATGGGACATTTGTTATGTGCTCATGACTCCTTCCTCACAGTAATTTGGGGTTGCTTTATCTCCAGGACCGCCAATACTTTCCAAGTACTGCTGTAGCAGTTCAAGGAAAATTTAGTATTATCTGGAATTGGTAGAATAACTTGTCTATTTTCACAATTCCACTATCCTGCAGTTCTACCTTTTGGTTGCATAATGGAAAGAAATATCCCAGTCAGAGAAAGAAAAGTCCCAGAAAGAAACAAGTGTAAAGGAGCTAATCTTAATCCCACAAGAACCTGGAAACAGAAGTCCCAGCAAAGTGGCAAGTTAAAAACTTCGTATAGAGAAAACTCTAAGTTAGCAATACACATGATAGATTCTATTTTAAATATCTCTTATGAATTACTTTTACTGTATATGCCCTGACAGTGCAGTTGGTTATGTTGCTTTATGAAAAATTGTATTTTTGTAATCCATATGCAGTTGGAAAAAAGGCTACCCTATCTATATACTTTCACCCATCATGTTGTATTAGGGCTGAATTCAAAGTGCTGGTCAGAATCCACAGACACACACACACACATATTAGAACACAATACCTCAAGGACTGTTGCTTATATGAGCCCACCCAGGCTCTGAAGTTGGTTTCAAAACTATTTTTCTGTGATCTCCTTCTGTAAGAATTTTCTGGAGTGGTAGTGCAGAAACAGGCCTTTTCTGTAAGAAGCCTGCCTATGCTCATGAAACAGTTTCCCCAAGGAAGCTTGGTTGGGGTCAATACTACCATCTTTTCAATGCTAGGTGAAGAATGCTTATTTTCCCAGGCATTTAGATATTAGTTCTGGTCCGTTAATTCATGCTCATTCTAAACTTGGCTCAGTTGTGAGGGGAGAAATTGTCTATTGTGGTTAGATTTTTCATATTGTAATGTTTTTAGGTTATGCTTTGTTTAATTTGTAGCATACTTTATAATTTATGTATAATTATGGTTTATACTGCTCTGGGGTTTTTAAATGGATTTTATGGATTTCTATATGTCAATTATTTTAGGACTATTTTTTGTGATGGGAAAGCAATGCATAGATTTTATTTATTTTATATTGTTAATTTTATATTGTTATTTTTGTATTTTATTGTATTTTACTTCGTGTTTTGAGCCGCCCCGAGGCTTCGGCAAGGGGAGGCATAGAAATGCTTTAATAATAAATAAATAAATAAATAAATAAATAAATAAATAAATAAATTTAATTTTAAAAAAGAATAATAGGTTGACAAAGAACACAAGAATAGTAGCTAAAAGCTTTAAGCATTTTCATAAAAACTGGTTGAGATGCGTATTTATTTCTATACAATTCAATAGTTATAGTTGTCTGGGTGATTCACAAATTTGAAGGGATATATTACAGTTAATTTTGTTTGGATGCTTCTTTAGATAACTGAGCATCCAGACAAAACTGGCTGTAGGATATACCTTCAAATGCACCTTCTCCCCAAAATTTGCAGAGAGTATTGTGGGCATGATCCATTTTCCCACTGCATTGGGCACATCTTATTCCATTTCCCTTCTACAGATACATCTTTAGGGAATGATCATTTCCTATATTTAATCTATTTCATTGGTTATCATTTCCATTACCCTGTAAGTAGTTATGGTATTATTTTTATTTATTTGTTTGTTTAAAGCTTTTACATACCATATGCTTAGCCGGAGGCTTTCCAAACAGTTTACAGAAAAAATGAAGACAAGTACAAAAGACATAAATTAACTCAATAAACAACAAGCAATTCCAAGAGATAAAATACAATGTAAAATGCAATATACAATGAGATACATCATTTCCTATTTAACAATTATTTAACAATTAAAATATAGGGAAAATTAAAAGGGGTTTGTCTGGCACCGAAAAGCACATAAACTTGGCACCAAAATTAATACAGTGAACCTTTTCTGCCTTTTTAAATTCAGGAGCCATTGTAATAAAGGTTTTGAGGTTTTATTCATAATTACGATAGTATTAAATATGTTCATTATTAATTCTCAAGCACTTTTTGAAAATTAAAGGCAAACTTTACAGACTTGTTTAAAAAAACAATCTTGGACACAGATTCTCTATAGTAACCAAACTATTGAGATACGAAACTCTGTATTCCTTGTTGATATGGGCACTTGTGTATTGAGACTTCATTATATAATGATGCCCATACCTGGTTATTTCAGGTCAGCAATCCTTACTATGCTGCAGTCTTGCTTTTATGAACAACCATGTGCTTACACTGCTCTCAAGTTTCTGGTCTGTAACACTTTGTCTAGAAGCTTTCATCCTTAGATGTTCTCAAATGCTTGGACTTGTAACAACTGTAGTTCAATGCTTGCAGTGGATTTAATTTTTTTATTTAAAAGCTGTTTCTTTCTGAACAAACAACACTTGCCAGAGAGCACTGGACTGATCAGCTGGCTGCTGAGCTGAGATTTGAACCAAAGACCTCCGTGTTCATCGTTAGCCATTATGCTGCACCAGCTTTCACATGTACAAGGAATAGTTGAACTCTGCCAAAGCCATCAGAAATTATGGTACATCCAAGTCATTTCTTAGGATCAGAACATCATATTGAACATATTGAAAAAGTACAAATCACCTGCATCTAAAAATGGTTATACAGAGATGTTATACCTGATTCTGATCCTTATTTTTCTCTTTCTAGATCTTGGGAATATACTACCATCCTCCACTCAAAGGCATGCCCTTTTGGGAGAAGAAATATTGGTGGCAGATACCTGTGATCCACAGTTGTCCCCTGTATCAAGTAAATATAATGAGTTTTGCATTTATGTTTAATGACATTGGAAAAGACAGTGGGTAGTATCTAGTGCTGTCACAGGAAGTTGTGCTATCATAAACGTATACTAGTGCACTATCATAAGTATTTGCTAGACAAATGGAAAAGCATCAATTTCCTACCAAATTTTAGCAGCAAGTCAGTTTTTCTCCTTTGCCTAGCAAAGAATAGTGTCATATGTCTCATTAGGGATTAAGAAGGAACAAACTAGCCAAGCAGGCTGTGACAAGAGCAAGGCAAAACTCAAGAAACGAGTACCTTGAAGCAAAGAACTTCAAATGCTTTCTTCCTGCCTCACCCCTTTTAATTATGTATCCCTAACACCTTACTTTATATTTGTAACAATTTCAGTTGCTTTGAGCGCTTTAGGAGCTTGTATAAGCAAAACATTCAAACAGAATGTTTGCAAATCTCCACATCCTGCGGAAAGAGAAAGGTAGGATTGAAGTTGACAACTTGCATGTCACTTTTGGTCCAAATTGCATGAAATAACTAACTATAGATTAAACAACCCATAGTTTGTTAGGGTGCAGAGCAGTGAGTGACTATGCCACTTGACACTTGTGCTTTAGATCAGCTTTCATAAATGTTGATGTAAAGCAGAAGAACATTGCAAAAATACTATTTCTAGTTTGTTTGGTGTGGCATCTGAAGTGCAGGCTTAGGTTGTTGAGGGACAAATAGCCCAAAGGTTTGTTGTTAAATTAAATCTCATTTTCCTCAACAACCCAAAATTCTAGTTAGGACTTTGTATCAGATAAACCCTGGAATGAGGTTCTTCAATTGCATATGAATCTAGCTAGATTCAGAGAAGGGGAGGACTCATAGGAAGTAGTGCATTGGCTCTTGCATAAATCCACCAATTTGTGGGTTAAACAACCCATGCATAGGCCTTTTGTGCAAACCAGGGCAAAACGTTGAAGGGATGAGAGTTGGCTCCTAGTCAGGACAGTGAGATGGAAGACCTTTCATGGGGGAGGAAGAAAAACAGATCAAATGTGGAAAGTATTCTATATTGACCATTACTAGGTTCCTAGGCCCATTACACAGAATATTGTTGATAAGAACAAGCAGAGACATGACCCAAGCCTGTATATTAAGCTGTAGCCAAAGAAAGTGATCACAGAGGCTTGAAAAGGAATGAACATGTACTCTTGCTTTGAAAAAGATTACCCCATTAACTTTTGGTGTCTGCTCAAAAGGACATTTTATGACTTCTTATGGGAAGCCACTAATTGTCAAAAACTACCAGAAATTTTCAAGAACTTAAGTGTTTTCTGTTGTGAACTTTACTTTGGAAAGATAAGATTGTCAATTTGTTTCTTGATATGAGCAATTGAGAAATAGGCTTAAAACTTAGACACACTTTAATTTAAAGCAAAAACTTAGGTGTAACTTTTGGGGTGTTTTATATTCTATAGCATCTATTTTATTTATATATTTTATTACTATTTATAATATCATTATTAGAATGAAATTTCAAATGAAACTGGATACTGGGTCCCATTTCCAGGCCAAAGGTACTGGTTTTGACCTTTATGGCCCTCACAGTCTTGAACCAGAATAGGACTGACGTACCTCCCAGACCGTCACTGGTAGGTACGTCGCACTGCACTGCAGTGTGATGTGGTGGAATAGTGGCACCCTGGCTGTGGAAATTTTTCCCTGGAGATTTATTTTGATACCAGGAAAGATCTTTTTCCTCTGAGCTTAACCTGCCTTAAATTTAAGCTGCTGTTATATGTTTCTGTGACTACATTTTATATGCCTTTAATTATTCTTTGTTGAACTGTATTGCATATTAAATAATTATACTTCTTGTTCTGACCCACCCTGAAAGTACGTTACAGGTGACAGATTCATGTTGTTGTTTCTACCACTGCTAATGGGGATGATGGTGGTGGTGATAATAGTTTATGGTGGTGAAGGAATTTCTTGATGTATTCCATAGGAGGATACATGAGTGAAAGGGATAGGTCTACAATAACTTGCCCCATTATCAAGTATTCAAAAATGTTCTCTCAAAAATATTGTCAAACAAATCATTCTTCAAAGATTTCATGGTTGTTGAATTTTAAAAATATTGATAAGTTAACTCAGTAAATGAAGTCTACCATCAAGAGTAGAATAGGTTTTATTATGCATTATTTTCCACTGATGCAGATGAAAAAGTGACAGATGAGTGTCCTGATGCAGCATCACCATTTAACTTGGCTGTAGTTGTTGCAGAAACCCTTGGGCTTGATGAGCTTGTGAGTACTGTTCTTCTGTTCTGTCACCAAGTCTATTTAGGAGATTAATCCTCATAGGAAATAGTAATCTTTCATTTTGCTTTTGCTGAAACCTAATGATTCAGCAAATTACTTCCAACTTAATTAGAGCCCATGAAGGAATCTCCACATGTAGAGTATAATCATAGCTTATATTGAGTTCCCTCACAATTAAATAAGAATGTATATGCTGAAAGCCTCCCTTTTAATTTTTCATTATCCATAATAATGTTTAGTTTAAAAATATCTGTTTCCTACTTGTCTGGTAATCATATTGTAAGAAAATTTATCTGAAGGATTTGGGGACCATGTTTCATTAGCAAGCACAATGGTAGAAGGTGGTGTAACACTATGGTTGCATTCAGTTGTCACACACTTTAGTATTGCCACACATTTCTTGCTTGACGAAATATAATTTTCTATTCACTGCAGTAATGTGGTTTAAATAGAATCCATTAGAGGCTTAGATTTAATGTTTATTCTTAAACAGTAAAAAGTCTCTTAGAAAGCACAAGCAAATCATACCAATCCAGCTAAAACAGATGTGAGCAAACTCTTTCAGCTTGAGGATTAGATTCCATTCTGTAGACGCTCTTGAAGGGTAACTTTTACAGTGGGGCTGAATGCAAAAAGTGGGTAGGTCCACAATACCAGCGTATTTTACCTTAAAGCTCTTACTACTAGTAACTAAGCCTTAAGAGAGACATTTCAACCCTTTAGAATTGGGGAGAAATTACACAGAAGCCAGGAAAACTTGAACTGATCCACAGTCTCGATGGAAACAGCAGAACCCAGCTTTGGTCTCCAACAGAGCAAGATTGAGCCCCAGGCCAGCCTTCTATACAGCTGGTTGAAAGGCAGATTCATGCCTGCCAGTCCAGGTCCTCCTATCTTACTAACGAGCTGGCTGGTAATATTTTTTCTTTCTAGAAAGGGTTATATGCTTGCATGTTATATGCCTGTGACTCACTGAATTGGAACCAAGTAAATGTGTGCATTTTGAGTTCCTTAAAAATATTGTGCCATAGCAGGAATAACAAAATGTTTGAATTATCTGTCAAATATGTAAACTATATTCTTGTTCCATAGGGGTCTCGGAACAAAGCACAGGGAGTTTCCAGAAAACAGTTGATTCATGGGTGTCCTAATAATACTGCTGACAACATGGGGTGAGTTTCAGAATTTAAAACTGGAAGGATCAGCTGGCCCCACATATTCCTCATCATACCTTGAGGCCATCTTCAGAGGCCTTTCTCCAGGTGTCCTTGCCAAATCGAGAACTGTGCCAGTTAATGGGCACTATAGAAATATTTTTTTTAAAAAAGAGAGAGATGCTTGTCTCTAAGAACCCTGGTTACAGACTAACCTCCTCAAAGAAATGCCTTTCTATACTCTTTTCAGTGCCTCAAATGTGCACACATTTTTTCATAATTTTTTAAAAATTATAATTGCTCTTGTGCAAGTATGTATTTGGGCATTTCAGTGGTCCCAAAATGGGCAGCCTTACTTGGTAATGCCCTGAAGGATGCTTGCTGTCAAGGTGCAGAGACACCTGCAATATTGACCAAGGAAGACTGCAAAGAGTTTTTCGTTAGCTTTTCCTTGAATATCAAAAGGCAAGCTGTCAAGAGAAATCAAGTAATCTTGCTCACAAAAGGGGGTATCCAGCAGATCATCCACTTCATAGCAAGATCCTTTGTCTTTTTGGGTGGACTTGAGTATTCTCACTGTCAGTGGATTTTTCTACCCTATTCCAAGTCTCTGGTTGCTTGGGAAGGTGGAAAAGTAAAAGCTACAACCTTTTATGAGAGCAAGTCTAACCAGAACTTTTTGAAAATGCATACATTTGAAATGCAATTGAACAAAAAAGGTGGCCCACGACTGATAGCCTCTCCAATATGTTATTTGTGATTTGGTGTTCACAATTTCTGTGAAGAAAAGAGGCAAAAGGAGAAAAATGCTGCCAGTTGATCTTGTCACAGAATTCCCTGCGATAACCATGAAAGAACTGGGAAAGAAGTGAGGGAAGCTGGGATCCTACAATGAGCCTGATCATCTGTTGGACACATCATGGGTTGTTCAGAAAGCTTATTGCCAGGGTATGTTAATGTAATGTGCAGACCTGCTCAGAGCCTTATGTTAAATGTTGCATTTTTCAGTGAATCCATTTTTATAATTTCCATTAGCAGAAGAAAAGTGTTCAACTTTTAACTGTTTTCAGTTTTTCAGATCCATCTGAGGACATTTCTCCACCTATAGATTGGGATTATAAAGTACCTTCTCCTGTTTTTGGAGCATCTGCCAATGTAAAAAGCAGCTTGGCCATGAGTACCAGTAGCTCCCCTTCTGTGTTAGCAACAGGATGCAAGTCAAATCTGAAAATCAACCCCACAAACAATTCTTCTATTTCTAGATCTGAGAAAGTGAGATCAAAATCTGAAGATGTTTCTTTTGTTGCACCACTTAACCTTGGGTGTGAAGTAACCTCAGTTATCAGTCAGGCTCCAACTGGTAAGCAAGTGGTTCACAAACAGAATTCAGATGAGCCTAAAATATCCATAACCAATGCACATTTAGAGAAAGATGAGAAAATCACAAGTAGCTTCATTCTTACACAACAGAAACTATTAGGAAGCAGGTGTCCTAAAAGGAAGAAATCTGATGAGAAAAATGGGCATGTGATTAGCTGTGAAAAAGAAAATGCCTTCCCATCCAGTGCTGACATTCCTCCTGCTATCAATAGAGATAATATCACGGATAAACCTTTAGATCTTTCTGATCATTTTTCTGGTGTTCACTGTCGAGAAAAAAGCCACATACATTCTGAGAGTGCCAAAACCAAGTTGAGCCAAGCAACTCTTCATGATGTTTTTCAACAACTACTGAAAGATTCTTCATCTAAAGTCATCACTGGAAGCAAAGATTCACAAAGGGATCCCAGTATACAGAAAGGAATCCTGAAATCTCTCAGCAAAGCATCCCCAGAGAAAGACCCTGAAATTCAAATAAAAGAAGAAATAACCGGCTTATGTCATCCACATTTGCCAAATGATGACCTGGAATCCAGTCCCTCTGAAGATACGAAAGTAGGTTTACATTTGAGTGTTCAATAATAATCTGTAGTTTCCAAGAAAAGCTAGTATTTCCCTTGCTTCTTTGCCAAACTTAAAGATTTTTGTATCTGAAGATAGTGTACCATTTACAGAAGATACTTTCCTATTGCTTATTTGTGCATTTAGGGTGCAAGGTCAGACATTTAGTACAAGAAGTCAACATGAAGAGTGACCAAGGTAAAATGTTCTAAGAAATTGTTAAAACTGTAATTTGCATTGATAGGTTGTTGCTGACTCTGAACCAGCAACTAAGAGAGTACGATCAGGACTTGGAGTAGGTGAGCCAGCATCTGTGCTTCAACCAAACCCTTGCAGGGGGACGAAAGCCACACAGCTCTACAGTGAGCAAGGTATATTTTAAATTCATTGTAGTATAAAAAGGATAAGAATGTCTGGTTGTTTGCTGGTTATCTTTTTGTTGGTGTGGTGCTCAACTAAAAATGTCCATTTACATGCCATCCCCTTTAATGGGATCCCCTCTTAATTTATTTCTTACATACAGTCTCTTGTACTGCTTGCCTTGTTTATGATAACTTGAACTGTGTAATGGCTGTTGGTTACTATTTGTACCATTTTCTTGCTGCATATATTTAGAGTTCTGTGACTCTCATTCATTACTTTTACAAGTTGTCTTTTCTTTTGAAGATAAAACCACACTGGAAAGTGTTCAGTGGAGTATAGATCCAGGAGCTGATCTTTCCCAATACAAAATGGATGTTACTCTGATAGACACAAAAGTAAGCACTATTAAAATGTTCTGTCTATGTAATGGGTCACAACAGCAGCAAAAAAGGATTTAGACTATTAACCTGCTAAGCATGACCCCCAAAAAAAAAAAAAAAACAGATGTATTATATTTCCTTTCTTTAAAGTAAATTTTAGTTTGAGAAACAGTAGTAAAAGCTAAACTTAGGACGCAATTAAATTGAGATGCCTTTAAGTCCCTAAATTGGGAGGAATATTGACATCCTATTGTATTGCATGGGCTGTACTGGATAAACAGAAGATTATTAAAGTAAGTGTAGGGAATGTTCCCAGTATCCACAAACCAGGATAGTGTTGTGGTGCCATGCCAAGGCTTTATGGCCTTCATCTTGTGAGAAGAGAACCAGAGACAACTGTTTTGAAGTTGCTTTCTCCAAGTATATTCCTTAGAGAAGAACTGCTACTCCTACTTCCTTGCCTCATACTCAGAAAGTAAGGAAGTCTTTTTGAGCCTTTGATTTCACTGGGAGTATTATAACTCATTGAACTAGAAAAGGCTTACTAAACATGCTATTTTTAAAAACTGGATTATTTTGACTGCTTGCCTTCTTCAAACATTGCTAACATGAATTAGCTAACATGAATCTGATTTGATACATCCAAGTGTTATATTTAGCTCTTGAATGTAACGCCCTAGTTTTGGAAAATGATTGGAAGGGAACTTTTGAAGTGAGATTCTGCCACTAGTAATATCATATTGAAATAAATTGACATTTCTCCAAACTGATTTTATAATTAGTGTCAGTAGCAAGCTTTTGTATATCTGTTTAGTTAAAAGTACTTTGGAGAATTAAACCTATAAAATGGAGGGGGAATGCTGTAAGATGTGGTTTGAACAGACTGCAGGTAGGCAATGATTTCTGCCTAATCTGAAAATATATTTATTCATACAAACTGCATATAACAGACACAAAGTTTTGACAGGTAAGTATGGTCTCAATAAATTTTATCATATGAGAAAGATAATTCGGATAGGAATCATCTCAGCATTTATGTTTCTTTAAAATTCAGGGCTTGCTTTAACATACACACTTGTAGAAATTCACTGAACTCCCAAACTACTTTTAACCAGACCCAAGAAAGGGCAACATCAGCTTGCATATTACACAGCTCAAAAGTGAAGAAGACTGCCAAAGAAATACCTGTGAAGCACACCTGAAAGCATTTTAAAAACTTCTAGTATAGATGCATTGGGTTAACAAATCACACATTTGATGGTGGTCTCTTAAAAATGTAGTTATTATAATTGTTTTGTAACTATTTTGCTTGAAGGAAGGTACCCAAACAAGAATTGGAGCAGAAACTATGGACATGGACTATACATATGTCAGTGAGAGTATTCTATTAAGAATGAAAAAGCAAAAAGATAAAAAAGCAAATAGCCCAAGTAAGTTTATTTTTGTTTGATCTATAAAAGCCTGGATCTGAAATGCATTAGTGAATGCCTACCGCTTATGTGTTACCCTGGTACAATATCCATTTCAGCACTAGTGCTAAGCTAAATTACATTGCACTAATGTAAGATACCTCTACCAGCACAACTGCAGCAGCATTTGCTACTATGACAGGTTTACCACATAATCCAGTTGATGCAGCAAAGCTACTCATATTATGCTAGGTGTAACTAATACTAGTGCAACATAATTTATGTTAGTGCTGATGCCAAATTAGATAACCTGGGAATTGAGATGTGCCACCACTATCAGGGTTTAGTAAGGCTTGGCTGGTTACCCCTTGTCACTGGACCATTAATTTCCTGAAAGACAAAATAGAGAAAGTAGATATGTGGTGATTTGGGGGGCAACTTTTAAGAAATTTCAAGCAGTGGTATTATTTTTAAAGATAACAATTGATGTGAGAGAGGATTCTTTCCTTTCTTTGCTACTGCCTCAGTGGACAGCTTGACTGCCTTTTCAGCAGCCTCACTGGAACAGAATATCCTAATACTCTGTTAGGTCATTCTGTTCCAGGAAAGCTACTGGGCTGATAAAAGCAGCCAAGGTGCCACTTAAAACAATAGCAAGGATTTGGGGGTAGGGGCCAAAGAAAACTTTAAAGTTTTATAATTTTTAAAGGCAAAACCAAGTTCTTAGAAATTTCACTGTAAAAAAAAAAAAGTTTGGACAGTATCTAGTGGGATACTGCCACTCACATAAATTGCATCACACTACTGTAAACTATTCTAACACATCAGCAACAGCCTTGCTGTTGAGCAAGAGCAGCATGTGCTCATACAATATAATTTACATTAGCAGTTGTACCCCATTTGATACTGTACATTATTTCTTACCTGCCCCTATGAAGTTTGTTCCTGGTTCCAAATACTTCAGCTCCACATAAGTGATTTGTGTTGTACTAGCCATAGACCTTTTTCAGTTCTGGCACAAGTACTTTTAAATACCTTTTCTGACATCCAAATGGTCACTTGTAAATAATTATCGAAAATATTTCTGTTCTACCAAGATTTTATGGCAATGAAGGTTTTTACCTATGCAGGTGCTACTTTTTAATTTTGAGATTTAAAATGATATTTATTTAAAGCTGTAATAAGTTTGGCTCTAATTTTGGCTGTATGTTTTTTATGTTTTGTTGCAATCTGCTTTGTGGTAGTATAAATAATACAAACTTACAGTGCTGTTTATGCACAGACCAATGGAAAAATAACTTATCTTTGTATCCTGAGCAAGTGTGCTCCCCCCCCCACAAGAACATCTGTTTTAGCAATTCAAGTATATTTATTTATTCAGGTTATTTGTTTGTTTGTTTCATTTTTATACTGCCCAATAGTTGAGATTCTTTGGGTGATTAACAAATAAAAAGTTAACAAAGGATATATGCCCTCCCTAAATCTTTTGTCTCTTCTTGCAGGGAGTGAAACAGTTAAAATCATTTCCTTAAGAATGTCAAAATTTGGACTTCATCATTGTTATGACTTTAACCTTATACACTTGTATCTGCCAGAAATCCTTAACAAGATAACTCATAACTTTGGTACATCTTTTTAAGTAGAATAATAATATAACAGCATATGTTATGGTAAAGCTAAAAGTAGAATCTACTTGTTAGATTCAATTTCTATTAAACATTCAAATATGTTGTGCCTTTAATGGTCCCATTATCAAGAATAATGCTACCAATCCCTGCTACTTATTCTTGTAGTAGGAGAGGAAAGAGAGAGTGACAGCATAGCAGAAATATTTGATCGGACAACCTATGAAGAGTATGAATCCTACTTGGAAGATGACAGTGTCCCAGAATGTAACAACAATGAGTCTTCTCAAGAGGAAGAGGAAGAAAATGAGATTTTAAGAGTAAAGCAGCACACACAGAGTATGTATGAGTTTTTTAATATTGCTATTTCATTAAGCCATTTGCATGATCCTAATAAGCCATCCAAGGCATAATTCCCATAATCACCATCCAATCACAAACCTGGATAGCATGGGTTCTTGGAAGAGGAAACAATGCTTCAAGAACTGATGGGCTTTTTTAGGGTTATTGGAGGGTTGTTTTCCTCTCCGACAAGCCACACCTGAATGATGAATATAGAAATTGTGTATGGTACACACCACAGTGTTGTGTGTGCATTGTTCTGTTAATCATGTGATCAGATCCTATTCCACATAGATTGAGAACAACTAATAGCAAATAAAGAGCCATATTTTGAATGCACATAGGACAGCATTATTATGTCATGTTATTTATATTTGCAGACCATGGAAACAAACAAGATAAAGCCAGACAGAAAGCTTTTGTGGAACCGTATTTTAAAGACAATGAAAGGTATTTACAGTGTGGTTGTAAATATTCTTTATACATTCAGGTTTCTGCAGCATGAAGAAGCATTCACATTTTTTCTTTTGAAGTAATGATATGAAAAATTGGAAACCTATAATTTCAAAAAGAGAAAGTAAACATTGGAAAGTTTCCCCCCTTCCTCTCCACTGCTCCTACCTTGCCTTCACCGGTTCTCTGGCCACCCTCTGCACACTCTCCCAGCTTCTGCTGCTCTGCCAAGAGCCAAATGAGCTTGCAGGAGCTGAGCACAGCTTTATAAGCCTCAGAGGTTGCTGGCCCTGCCCCTCTACTTCCTCCTGGGCCTCTCTGGCCCTGCCTCCCTTCCTCTCCGCTGTTCCTGTCCTCCTCGCTTCTTTGCCCAGCTCCTACCTTGCCTTCGCCAGTTCCCTGGCCACCTTCTGCACACTCTCCTAGCCTCTGCTGCTACACTGCTCTTCCAAGAGCAAACACACACACACACACACACAGAGGTAACTGACTCTGTTCATTGTCAACAGGTTTTGTTCAGTAGTCTTAAAATTCATGAACACTGCAACACAGTTTAGTGGATTGCAAGGTTAACATGTTGTGCCATACTGTTGAATATTTGTGATCGAGTCCTTTTGAAATAAGATTTGAAGTCGATAAGCTAGCTTGCATGACACACTAGTCCACTGTAGGCCATTTAACCCCGCCCCTCCATGAGCCATGGCATGTTCCACTGCATTATTGAATATGCAAGCCTCATTCAGGGTGTTGCTGTACAATTTTAGCCTGACCAATGGGGACTGTGTGATATGCATAACCAGATGAAGTATGCCTGTATACACCAGTTGCTGGGGAGCTTAGGCAGAAGGGTGCTGGTGCATTCATATCCTCCCTGAGGGGTTCTGTAGTCACTGTGTGAACAGAATGCTGGACCAGACAGATCATTGATCGGATCCAGCATGGCTGTTCTTCAGCAAGGGTCAAATGATCCTTACAAAAGCCTCAGTTTGTTTAACCCTTGTATAAGTTCTAGTGTCCAAGTGATAAGGCAATCACCAATTACAAATTTAGATTGAACCTGACACACACTAAAGCTCAGTATTGCTTAAAAAACTCCTGGTGAGCCACAGTATATCATGCAAACCAGGTTAGTAAAAGTAATTGCAGTGGCCTTTTCTCATGGTGTATTAGTCTTCTAATAGCAACAAATGTAAAAGGAAGCAAAATATTCAAAAGTGCAATGCTTTACTAACTGCTGGAATAGTGGCATGATAATGCCTTTTTTAGTAAGTATGCTTATAATTAATCACAAATCAATAGCAAACCCAATTTGTTAAAGCAATCATGTAATCGAATTAAACATTAAACTTAGTGTAGTTTCCTTGTTTTGGATTCTTGAAATTTCTGTTTACTTTCTAGAAAGAAAAGTGCATTAGATTTTCCTCATATTGAGGTTGTGCGGAAGAAAGAAGAGAGAAGAAAATTACCTGGTCACACTTGTAAGGAATGTGAAATAGTAAGTAAATTGATGCAATGGGCTCCATATTCTGCTTTTTAGAAAGTAAAATAATTTACCTATATCCTATATTTTAGTTGTAAACAAAGTTAATGTAATATGTATTCATATTATGTATGCAGTGAAGATGCACAGTGAACTACATTTTTTCATACTAGCCTATTTGCAATTTTTGCACCGTCTTGCATATAGTCAAGGTACACCTGGGCAAATGTGCCCCGTTCTGACTACCACATTTTGAGAAGAGTGTAAATGAACTGGAGCATGTTCAGAGGGGGCGAGCATTATGGAAAGAATGAACTGGAAACCAACTGCTATAAGAAGCAACTGAAAAAACAAGGCTGCTTGTTCTGGCAAAGGGAAGGTTAGGAAAATAGGATTGCTATTTTCAAATAATTAACAGTCTGTCATGTAGAAGCTGATGTGATGAAGAAGTATCAAAGAGTATTAGAGAAGCTGACAGAATGCTGCCAGGAGGCCAGACTATCTCACTAGGCCAGTCTTCTAGCAGCGTTAACCAAGCTGGAATGGTCAAACAGAGACACCAAACTAAGCTGCATCTACTCTCTTCAGAAGTAACACTGACATAGGCAGAGGAGAATTGATATCTCTAATGAGGATGGGGACAGAAAAACTTTTAAAGGGCAGCTATTGGGCACCACCTGCAGTTCAAAGTGACACAGGCAGAGAGAGGATCTTTCACAGATAATGGCAGTAAAGCCTGGGCTAACTCTGGTTAGAACTACACAGAGGAAGGCAATGGCAAACCACTTCTGCATCCTCTTACCTTGGCATCCTATGATGAAACAATCCAAAATGAAACGAGATAGTGCCAGAGGATGACACTCCCAGGTCAGAAGGCACTCAAGAATCTGCTGGGGAAGAGCAAAGGACAAGTACAAATAGCAGTGTACTAATGATGCAACTAGATAAAGCCAAAATAAAGTCCAGTGGCTGACATGTACAGGGGTGAAAGAGAAGTCTGATGCTGCAGAACACACATAATTTGGAACATGGAACTTGTGAAATATGAATCAAGGCAAACTGCAAACTGTCAAACAGGAAATAGAATGGTTAAGCATCACAATACTTGGTGTAAGCAATCTAAAGTGGTCTAGATTGGGACATTTTCAATCAGGAAAACACAAAGTGTCTTACACCAGAAATGATAAACTCAGAAGAAATGGAGTGGCTCTAACACTAGGGCAAGATATAGCACTGACAGTAAAGGGCTATCATACAAAATCCAACCAAATATTATCCTTCAGAATTTGTGGCAAACCTATCAACATAAAACCATCATCCAAGTCCAACAATAGATGCTGAAGAAGAAATTGAAAAATGTTAAGGTGTTCAAGAAGAAATTGATAACATACCAACATAAGACATACTGATAAATCATAGGAGGCTTGAATGCAGAGGTAGAAGATGAAGGAGAATCTAATATTAGACGAAAATGTGAACAAGAGCTTTAAAAAAAACACTAAAACAGAAGAATGCCTCTTAGGATTATTTGAAGCCAACAATCTGTTTATTGCAAATACATGCTTCATGCAACCAACCAGAACAACAAAAGAGGAAAGACAAAAGATCCAAGAGATCCAAGAAATCAAAGGAAAATTCAAAACTAGATTAGGAATGCTAAAAGCCAAACACTATCTGACCAGGAGAAAATAAAGAGAAGGTGGAAAGAATATGTGGGATACCTATACAAAAGAGATGAAAGAATGACAGATTTCTTCAAAGAGGAATCTTATGAGAATAACCCTAACAATTATTTGCCAGTAAATAAGAAAAACAAAACACTGGCTCTCAGACTAGAAATGCTCAATATACATTCTGGTTCTCAAGTAAGGAAATGCAAAAGAGTGCAAAAAAGACTGAGAGTTGCAAGGACAGCAGTGAAGAAACTGGAACATATAATCAAATAGAAAGATCTTCACTGGAGACCACAGCCAAGACCATCCACGCTATTATATTCTTGACTATTACGTATGTGTGTGAAAGGTGAAGAGTGAAGAAAGTGGAAAGGAAGAAAATTTATGTATTTGAAGCATGGTCCTGGCGGAGAGCTTTTTGAATACCCTGAACTGACAGAAAGATGAACAAGGGGGTTTTGGATCAAATCAAGCTGGAGCTTTCCCTAGACGCAAAAATGACAAAACTGAAGCTGTCATACTTTGAGCACAGGAGAAGGCAATACTCCCTGGAGAAGACAGACATGCTATGGGAAGCCAAAGGCAGAAGAAGAAGGGGAAAACCAAATATGAGAGATATTGACTTCATAAAGGAAGCCACAGCCACTATCCTACAACTTTGGCATGTCATCATTAGCCGAATAATACACATGAATAATGTATATGTTGTTTTTCAAATTTAAGCAACTTTGGTTCCATCAATCAGTGGATGATGGTGGTAGATTTTTCTGCATTGTATGTAGTTTACTTTCTAGTCCACTTGGAAACTCAATTCTTGGTTCCAAAATATATGAAATCTAGAAGCCTTGAATTAAGAGGGGGCATAAAAGCAGCTCTGTGTCTTGTACCAAGAGTTATATGTGAAAGATTTAATTTCCTGTCTCTGCGCAGTACAAGGTTTCTTCTCTCCAGGCACTTGGTTCTTGTTACATTTTTGTGAGTTATTCATAGTAGTAATGATGAGATTGAAAACATTTGGGAAACCTTTTTTCTGCATTGAAGAAATATTACGCATAAGGGCAGAATTTTTAAGCATTTATGGAAAGGAGTGTTTTGTATAAACAATCCAAGAGGAATGTTTTCACTGAAATATGTGGAGTATCAGCAGTGGCAAAACACCAAAATGATGGAATGTGAGACAGAAGATTTCTAAACTGTAGTAAAGCTAGACAGGAAACTTATGCTTAGGATGCAATCCTTTGCATATTTAGATTTTTTTTAAAGTCAAAGTATGAGCAGTAGAACTGTCTGTCCAAACAGGTCTGTAGGTAAGAGCCCAAAGGATCAACTGGATTGGCTTGCCTTTTTGTTAATTCTCCCAGTGAATCCTGACAGCAAAGGTTGTGAGCTTGGATGATTTATTGCTGAGGTTTATCATGGGAGGAGGTGAGCGCTATCCCCAGGACAACTGGCCAGGTTTTATGGCCTTAACCTTTCAGGGTTTGATTGCCTATAGCTGAAAAGGAGATGGTAGATGCCAGGCATGATAGAAAGTCATCCCATAGTTAACTGTCAGGAATTACCCTATTGCTAAGAGACAGTTTGGAGTAGATCTTTTGTCTCCCTCTACACATGAAGTTGCCTGGGGACTTTCTGCCTGACAAAACCCTGCTGGACCGTGGGAGAAGCATTGCTGAAGTGATGTAAAATAGGAACAGTTTTGATATTTTCTATGCTGAATAATGTGCTGAAGAGCCTGCATACTCTTAGGAACTGGGGTCTTAATCATTTTACTTTTGGATCCTTTTATTAACTATTTTATTCTTCTTTATAAGGGAAAGGGATACATCCTGGGGTTTATCCTTTTCTCTTTTAAAATAATGCTAAAATCAAACTGGTGTGGTTACTTCAGGTGAAACAGTAGTAAATCAGACCAGGACAGATTATTGAATAAGGTAGAGCCCCTGGCAAGAGGGCCATAGCGGTTTGTTTCTACTTTCCTTTATACCTAGCATATTCGAGTTGGGAAATGTTAGGATTTGTAGGAATTTTTTTCTCCCGCAAGATACATAGGATTGTATGTATCTTAAGTAGATCTGAATGTAAGTAGCTTGATTAGCACTCATGATTTTGAGTGTAGTCTTCAACAGATAAAGCCATCCAGCATGGCTTTTCTTTTATGGAGCATGAATCCAGTGCTTGGAATTTGAATTCAGAAAGGGATGTACTTAGTCCCCCTGGTGTATAGATGTGTAGGCAAGATCAGAGCAGTGACTTTCTTGGTAGAGACTGGGTGTCAATCCTTTTTCCAGCCCTGGAGATCTTCTGTACCATAGCAGATTATTCACAATGAGTAAGATAATACTTTTATCCTGCATGGGAATTAGTTCAATACATTATATAATATCTAATTCTTCCCCTAACTTATAGTTATCTTGTAGATATATTCCCTAGCCTAGTGAAATCAGATTCCAGTTTCAGGCACTACATGAGCTTCATTCACCAGTACTGAGCATGCTGCTATATGTAAAAAAATGTCTACGCAAAATGTTGCTGTTTCAGCTCTTATGTTAAAACTTCCTTCTTTCCTCCTCAAGATTAAAGCTTCCTCCTTTTCTCTACACTAAATAGGGATTAGAAATGGGATGCTCTGAAGGGTTTGTTGGGAATGGCCCCAATGCCCATCTTCATCTCCCACAAATCTCAGGAGCGTAGGAAAATTTATGCCTAAAAAAGACTTACAAATAAATGTGTGAACTGACTTTATTTAAAAGACCTGTGCTGGAGGCAATATAAAAACGTTGAATGTTTTGTTTTGTTTTACTTGTGCTGTACATTCCTAAATACTGTAATGTCAAATGAAGAACTTACATGGATAAAGCATCCCTCAATATTTTAACTACCTCTTTCTTTGAGAGGCAATTTCAGAAGATTTTTTGTGTAATGCAAATGTTGACTTGTGGAACCTCCCATAACTTGGTACCCTCTAGATTATTTGGACTTTAGCTCCCATCATCCCAAGCCAGCCTGATCAATGGTCAGTAATACTGGGAATTGTATCCCAGAACATCTAAGGGAAGACTGGTGTCCTTTCCATCCAAGGAAATCCAAGGAGGCTGCTTAAGTTCTAAATCAGTATCTGATTAGTCTAGTATTTGACTAGAATGTCATCAAACTTATTAAAGCATAATCTAGCCAAGACAATAGTGTTCTTAGTCAGTTGAAAAAACAAGCCTGGGAATAGGGATTCTGTCTTTGTTGTAAAGGATTACACTTCTTTTGAAGACTCGGGTTTGCATTTTGAGTGTGTTCCTGCATTCAGCCCAGGTGTGCATTTTCACAACTGAGCTTTGTGCACCAGCTGCATCTGTTTCTGGAGATGTCAGATAGCCATGGCGACTCATGCCTTAGTTACATCCCTTTTGGAATTCCGTAACATGATCAGGCTCTGGAACCTGTTACCTAAGGACACCCTGGCTAAGCCACAAAGGCTGGTGCAGCATAAATAAGTGGCACGGCCTGCCACCATTGAGGGTAAAACAAACCCAGACTTCTCTGTCCCTAAGCATGCTTGTTTCCTTGGGAATGACTGGCCAAGGATCCTGTTGGTGTCTCTTTGCAGCTCTCTTGCGTTCTTAGGTTTAAACAGCTTAACAGATTTTGCTTAGGTTAATAGGTTTTGCACAGCACATTGCATGCAGACTGGTTGTTAAATCACCATCAGTATGACAAACAACATGGCACGCTCCCTTTTGAGCCTTCCTGCTTTCATCCCCAAAACATGCAGTCTTGATTTTGGTGAAAACAACGTATATAATTTATTAGAGGTTTGGTAGAATGTGTAGAATGAAAAAAAGGTTGGTCAGATTCAGAGCACAAAGAAGTAAGTCGTTTAAAGTGGCAATTCAGTGGCCAGTGGGAAATCAAACAGAAAAATACAATCTGGCTATTCATAGTCCTGCGTTAAGCTGCCTATCTGGTTCTTAGAAAAGCTGTGCTCTTGTAGTACAATTCCTCTAGTCTCTGTCAGTTTCTGGGAGAACTATACTCTAGTGCCTGTACCAAAGAAATTATCCCAGGCTTCCTTTTCCAGTGGAATATAACTCAGTGCGTGTGTCCATGTGTGTGTCCCCACCTGAGTGGAAAGTTTCCAAAAGAATCATGTGTTTTAGGCTGACTGACACTGTACATAATGCTCATCTCAATCCCAGAGATGGTTTTATGAAGATGACTCATTGTTTGTCTTCTGGACAATTCACCAGTCAGTAAGTTTACTAAGTAGAGATACTTGGCCTTGAGACATCCTCAGCCAGGATACTTGCATTGCAATGCCAACTTGTAGTATTTAAACCTGTATTTCTTCTGCATTTAGTGGAGAGCTGCAATGGATTGTAAAATGGAGGTTTCTTCCTCTCAGGCCCGATTACGAGGGAATTAGTATAGTCTGACTGACTGGACCACTCTAGGCTACTCTAGGCTGACTATAATAGGTTGCCTTTGAAAGTGTTTGAAAAAGAACTGGCCTAGAATTCTGCAGCCGGACTACTGACCAGGGCCAGCTCTAGGGGGCAGGTGAATACCTTGTTCACTAGCTTAACTATTGTTGGTCTTATTTCAGGCACAATTCAAACTGCAATCTATAAAGACTTATGCAGCTTGGGATCAGTCTATGTAGAAGACTGTTTTGTCCTGTTTGAGCCAGCCCAGTTTTAAAATTCATTTGAAGAAGCTCTTTGCTGAGTCCTACAACTATTAAAAGAATACTTGTTGAGAACACTGCTTGGCTGTTTCCAGACTTTGGAATTTCCTTCCATGGGTGGCCAGGGTAGTTCCTTCTCTTTTATCCTTCCACTGTGAGGCAAAGATATTTTTATTCAGGCAGGCTTTTGGCATCTAAACTGATTTTAGATGGATTTCAGAATTTGATTTTAAATCCAGTGGGTATTTCTTGCTGGTGTGCTTTTATATTTTTGTTTTTATTGGGTGCATTTTAAATTATTTTAATTTTTGAATTCTAACTTTTTGGACGTATTTTATTGTTAGCTGTCTTGACTTCTATTCTAGTTGAAAGATGTGATATAAATTAAAAAATAAATAGCTTTTCCCTACTGACACAAACATGCTTTTTCTTCTTGATAATGACTAGTTAATGGAATCTCTTAATTTTTATGATCCAATGCTATCAGATTTCTAGTTAAACTGAAACATGAATTCACTCTTGAGAATGACATTTTTAGATGCATAAACATTGTGGCATGTACAATTTCTGTATCATACAGATCTGACAGGGAGTGTGGATTGAAGTACTTCCTAGACATTGGCAAAGAGGAGTCAAATAATTTCCTTGTTTAATGTCCTCTAGAGCCTATGTGTGTGCCTGTCAATTTAGCTGTTATTCAGGTCAATAGACACTGTACATTGTGTTCAGATCCTTCAAATTGTTGAGCTGCAAGAAAACCAAAGGTCACCAAGACTCAGTACCTTGAAGCCGCAGACTTTATAATGAAGAGTTCTAAGGAAAAGATTGCATGCAGTTTTGTACATTTAGAAGTACTAAATAAATGAGACATGGAATCATAATAGAAATAGGACAATGGGCATCTGCTCAGTGAGATGGTATGTATATCGCCCTGTCACAGTCTAAGGTCAGTATAGTTTCAGGGTGATAGTAGGGAAGCGGAATGGTGCTTCCTTATGGAAGCACTCTCATTATGAAAGTAACATATAAGTGCCCCATAGTATGTTGAAAGCCCACCTTTTAACATTTTTAGATTACTCAGTTTCATAGTATTTCACAGTGTAAAAGTATTTTCCTTATCATGAGATACCTTTTTGTAAGTGTTTTTGCCTGAAAAATAGATTTGCCATGGAACAGGGTATTATATGTCCCTCCTTTCAGATCTCCCTGAAAAGTTTGACTCCTACCTGATAGATCTTTTCTGAGATGTCTTGGGTTCCTTGCAAGAAGAAGAAAGATAGACAATAAATGCAATAATGTAGTAGTAGTAGGAGGAGGGTGGGTAGAGGATAAGTTGCTTAATGTGCTTAGTATTTGTTTCTGTGAGTTATTGCTAGAAGGCCTTAGAGTCCTGTTGGGGGGAAGATAAGACATCTGAAGGTTTTCACATTTAATCTTTGCTTCTGGTTGATCTTGCTAAGACTTCCTCTATTGCCTATATTCATAAACACTTCTTTTAGTGCTTGTCAACTAGTTAAAATGAACAATGCTTAGCATTTGCATCAGTACAATATTGCACCGCTGTTACCTCTAGAGTGGAAAAAGGAAGGGGAGTATATGAGCTTGTGCATTTTCCTGATTCTAATCTTGGTTAGGTGACCAGGTACAGTGACCTGGTTTGCATGAAACAGCCACAATGGGATGTCACAAACAGCCACAGTTGCTTCAAGGTAGCTTGTTGTGATTTCATATTTAGCTATTTTTTCCAATGTTCATCATTTTCTACAAATGGTTTAATGGTTTTAATGGCCTCCTGTTGCTACTGCCATATCATGATTTTAGCACTAGTTATTTTTATCTTATTTAATTAAGTTTAAATTTACCTTACTTTTTATTAAGGTTATTTTAAATGGTTTAATATAGTGCTTGTTTAATTTTATGTCTATTTTTAATGATTGGTTTTATTTTTATTGTTGGCTTAAATGTTGCTTAAATGTATTATGAATTGTATTAATTGTTGTGAGCTGCTCAGGAAGCCTTATGGCTAATGGAGTAGCATACAAGTCAAATACATACCCTGAGAATCCATAGTTTGTTGTTACGTTGTCCACTCCTCAACATCAGTGGGATGGCATTTCTCACTTCCCAAATGAACCTCTTAGAGCTGCCATTTTGGATGTCTCACAGATACTCAAGAAGGGGCTCTTAAGTTTGTGGATCTGTTTGGGGACCAATCATATCTATTACTCACTCAGAAAATATATTTGCACACAAACGCAAAAGTGATGCATGGGATTCATTCTTCATCCAAACAATATAATGTTCAAAGTAATCATAGGGCAAAACCTGAGAGTACATAGATGCAGTTCTGCGCTAGTCTCTGTTGCAGACTGGCATTGCTTCTTAGGAGGATCAGTGTTGTTGTTTCTCTGGCACTATGATTTAGATGTCTCTTCTAGTTGCTGAAATTGTGTAATGTTTCTTTCTTAGTATTATGCAGACTTTCCAGAAGGAGAAAGAGAGAGAAAGATAGCTACTTGTTCGAGGCATCGATCTCGCTATGCTCCTCCTGACACACCAGACAATTTCTGGGAGGTTGGATTCCCTTCTACCCAAATGTGTGTTGAAAGGGGTAAGTATAGAAAAATAGCATATAAAACTGGAAGCATGAACTAAGAGCTCTGTGTCCTTCTTACTGCACAAGTGGTGTAGCAACAAATACATCAGGACTCTGAAACACTGATCGGCAGAGCTTACCAAAGAAAGGAAAGAAATCTGTTCTGCCTTTCTTTAAAATTATAGCACTTGAAAAACATTTCCTGTGTTTCAAACACTTAACAAAAGCTTCCTTTACTTAAATGATAGAATCAATGGCTTCTGGTGTTTTTAGGAAGAGAAATGGTGACACAGAATGGAAAAAAGATAACATCTTGCACATGAATATCTAAATGGAACATATATGTTTCAAAATTTATACTTGTATGGTATACATATTCAAAAGCAGCATGTATTATTGGAGTGCCACACCCTCTTTAACTCACTGTCTAGTTGCTACAGTTCATGCATGCTTAAACTTCGTGAATTATTGCTTTATCTGTATGCAGTGCAGGCACGAGCACTGTAGGTTAGTGCTACACTGCTGTCATTCTCAGAAAGTCATGTGAAAACTAGAGTAATTCCATTCTCCTTTTGAATACTAGCATGGAATTTTCAGGTTCCTCCTAAAATACTTTTTGTTTAATTTAAAGGTTTTATGAAGGACACGTCAAACAATCACACATTCAAAGAACAGGAAACACGTCAAACAATTGCACATTAAAAGAGCAGTAGTTATTAAGATGTCGTTAATTAAATGCATGCTTGCTCCTTCCATATATATGGACAATTCCTAATTTTTGTAACTCTGAACTTCCAGTCAGGACCAACTATTTGGGGCACCTTTCTTTAGGGGGAAATGCATGCACAAGCAGCTATTTCCTGCCTTTGCTGACTGTCTGGAACATAATTTACTACCTGCATTACAGACAAGAAACATGGAGATGGCTCAGTTGAGTTTCATTTTGTACCATCTGTTTCTCATCCAAGTACAACTTGCCTGAGCCACCATTACCATATCTTTACTGCCTATAAAGGTGGGCATATGATGTTGTTGGCCCTCATTGTTTTGTAAAGGGTTTCCATATCCCAGGAAACTATGACTTAGTTCACACATAATCCTGCACAAATGGGAGTGAGCAAGCATGCTGCCTTGGTGCATTCCTTAATTCTTAATTAATTAATTTTATTAATTTCCCTTTTAATCACAACCTACAATCAGCCAGGTTGTGGCTGTACAGTGGTGATTGGTAAACCTGGAGTACTGGATTGTTCAGTTAAACATTCCTGCAATTAACTAATGGTTTATCTTTAAATTTGCCAAAGGATTATTCAGCCCCTAAACAATCCAGCCCTCCATATTCACTGTACAATTACTAACTAGATGATCATACATTGTGACCATTCACTCACTCCTCCTCTTGCATTGCAAATAATGAAGATTAGCCGTTGCATGCATAGGTGGTGACTTGGCAGGTCAGAGTTCTTTCTGATCACACATATGGGCTCTGCACCTGTGTGGAGCTTGTTGTTGGAAGGTTTCTATAGCTAAGAGTTAGGGTGGGTGGAAGCCCCTCCCCTTCCTGTTTCCTGCATCCAAGGGAGGAGCTCCCACCCATTCCCTCAGTTCCTTTTCAGCCTCCTCCATGCCTAGATCAGGAAGTACTTCTCTCCTCAAGTATTTTTTCTTTAACATGCGTAGTGCAGAGAAAATCCAGTACTTGCATTTTGCTGATGGAGGAGAGCAGCTAATAGGCTATGCACTCATGTTTAATAGTTTGAGTGGGTAAAAGCAGACTATTAAATATTCAAGCCCTAGCCCTAAGCCAAAAATGTTGCTTTAAACATCTCCAGCAGGTACGTGCCTAGCATTGTCCAGTGTAGCAAACTATTGCTATAAAGAAACATGTATTGCCTGTAAATAGTGTTTTGTTGATGGACAAATATTTTCATTTTCTGCACAATTTGTCTGAAATAGATACATACCAACTAAGTGCCCTTGGATTCTCTTGAAAGCTGACAAGGGATACAAATCAAGACTGCTAAAACAAGTGGGAGCTTGGGCATTTGTTTCTGTGGATTTTACACTTTGTCGTTTTCCCTTTTCTATAGTATTTTTTTTCTCATAAGAGTATATTAGTACTTTAAATCCATTAGCCATGCATTTTGTCCATTATTAAGATTCTCACTGTTTTTATTATCTTTATTATTTACTATTTAAAGTTTTTCTTGAGTGCAGGAAATGCTTTTCAAACTTTGACTCAGCAATCCTTGGATTAAGACTAGTATTATCTCCTTTTTACACATTCAGGGCTGGGTCAGAGTGATAACAACTTGTCTGAAGCCATCCAATCAGTCCAAGGCTGAGATGCAAATTGGATCAGGGCCTCCCCTACATAAACCTCATTCTTGCTATACAACACTAGTGAAGTTTCCTGAACTTTTTGAAAAATCTGAAGACCATGTAGATTCAAATGTGTTTCCTGTTTGCACACAGAAAGTTGTTTTTACATCTAGCAAAATAAGTTGTTCTATAATAGCTGTAAGAAGCTTAAACTGGCAAAGAAGATAGCTTCCTGCACACTTGGTGGTATTGACCACGGAGTATATTGTGCAATAGTTTCACAGGCATGGACTTTCTAATTATTCCTGCTAAAATTCAAGATACTTCCTGTCATGGCATACTGAATCAGAAGCTTATTTCTAGTGTGAGTTTGTAAAAGAAAATAATAAATGCATGTCAAGACACTGTTCAGTTGTAAATTGTCATAGGAGATAGATAGGCTTTTTCCATTTTTGTAGGTGTATGAACCTTAAGGACGAAGCTAGTGAAACACTGAACCCATTCAAAATAGTCCCTGAACATTTTTTACTTCTCAATTATGTATGATTATACAATATAATAATAATATTGCCTTAACATTTGACTTTTTCTATAAAGGCTGTTTATGGCCTCCAAATGTAAAAGAAATTAGTGCAGGATTTGAAGAAGGTAGGAATTCTTTGGGATACAGTTTACTAGTACTTTCTCTTACCAAACTTACATGGTGAAAATTTATCAGGTTTTTGTCTGTGTGTGTATTTTTCTTAGGTTATATAAAAGAGGACCTTTCTCCCTGCCCACGGCCTAAACGAAGACAACCTTATAATGTGATGTTTTCTCCAAAAGGGAAAGAACAAAAAACATAACTGAGGAGTAAACTGTGAAAATATAAGATATAAACCTTTTGTTTCAGTTCGTATTTATAACCAATAAAAATATAAATATGCAAGAAATTAGAAATTGGCTTTCCTTATCATTTGAAAAATATATCCCCCTAAATCCAACTATTTAATATGTGTGTATAAGTAAGTAATTTTTGTATATATGTTTATATGTCTTGTTCTGATTTTGCACCCCATAGTATGGAGGGCCTATTAGAGCCTGCAGTTCAGGTCCCTGCTGGCTGCATTCAAACCTGGTGTATATTGGTATCTTCTTTGGGCTAAGGGAAGTTGCAGCTGCTCATGTTGGGTTTAGAAGATCCCAAGAATTTTAGGTCTGACCTTAGAGGGTGCTTCAGTTTTGCACTGGATAACTTAATGTGTAGCCACTTTGCTTTTTGTAATTTTTTAAAAAGTCTAATAAAAATGTGTTTTCTTAATTCCGACTCTTCACCACACGTGTTCTTTCCAAACTCTCAAATTCAGTCAAAATATTACAAAGCCTTCCTTGCTCTATAGATGCCTTAGCATTCACAGTGTAACTTCCTTATACATAGGCGTTTATTGGTTTCTATAGCATGATCCATGGCATGGCCAGTTGCAATATTCTGGCATTCCCAGCTCTGGCTCTGAGAACGGCTCACAAGGGGCCACAGGCTGAAGCAGCTAAGGACTGTGGGATCACGCAGCTTCTGTGGACACCCAGGCATGCTGCTTGAGTAAGAAGAGGAAGAAGCTGCTGGGGGGATATTGTTGAGCCGGGCTGTTAAGGGGCTTGAGTCTGCTGTCCTCAGACAGCTGCCTTTCTATTACAGCAGCTCTGTCTGCCATTGCCTTCTCTAAAGTACATCCCAAAGTACATATTTTTGTTCAGAGGAGTCAGTTCCTGACTCCAGAAGCACATAAGCTCTAAGTTACGTGACATGTGGCCCACAGACAAAAGACTTATCTGGCATCCAGTTTCACAAAAGGTTTACCTGATGCTTGTGTGGTGCAAGCCAAGTCTTTTGCAAGAAGCCTTGCATATGTCCCCAAGTGTACTGTGTTCTGTGTACTAGTCAGTGGCACTGCCCTGTGCATCAATATTTGCTCTAGCATGCAAACAACTTAAACTAGAGAGCATGTTATCCAGGTCCCAGCAGCACAGACCTAGGGGCATAGGGGTGAGGAACAATTAAGAGCATGCCTAATTACCTAGTGGTTCTGTTACAAGGTGGCAGCAGTCAGCAATACCAAAAGGCAATACTTTGACAGTGAAGTGAATGTATCTGCCCATTTCCTCAGCATTCTTTACTTCCCTTTAACATCTTATCCACCATACCTCTCTCCCTACAAGACCTTCCCTGTCCACAGCTTGCTCTCTTCTCTGCTAAAAGCTATAAGAGCACCTGCCCCACCACTAGTCATAGCTCACACTCCAAATTTCAAAGACTGAGAAGCATAGTCAAGTCTACAGTACATCTGCCCTTTGTAAATCCTTACCATAGCTGCTGAAGCATTGCTAACTCTGCATTGGTAGTGATTCACTATGAGTTACAGAAGCTCACAGATTTTCTTTCTCTAAGACAGGCCCCAATTGGCATATTTAAAAACAACTGAAAATACTGAGGAAATGGGCATACAATGGCCAATCTTCACAAATCGCATTAGATCAGTGTGCTTTTGGGGGATTGATTTGCACAAAGCAGCTGATCTTAGGTCATTCTCGGTGGGTTTTTAGATGCCAATTGTGGACTACCTTAGCAACAAGAAGTCTTGCCCTTCTGACCTGCAAAGGCTCCTGAGATACTTGCTGGAAGCAGTTGAAGAGAGCAAAGGCAAACAAGACATGACTTGCAAAGATAAGACTTGTGCTTGTATGTACAAAAATGACTTAAACCTGCGCTGTTGTGTGATGCAAACTGGCCCATTCTCTTGATTCCATTTCTTGGTTACGCAATTCTTCTAAAAATTTCCTATCTAAGTTTGTTTTTAATTCAGAAGAGGGTGTAAGAGGAGTTGCTACATTGTGATTACTTTTGCCTGATCCTCCTTTCAGATAAGCATTAAAATATAAATTCCTTTCCTGGCTGAAATTTCAAATGATCTCTGATACAGCAGAAATCTAAAACAAAATTACTTAAATACATGTATGAAATACTGGCCTAAAAAGGTGTAGTGGGGGACACCAACTATAAGGAATGTTATTTACAACATTGTTGCTTTTGATTACTCCTTTTTTCATACCAACAACTTTTCTGCCTTGTTAAGCTAGCTAGTTAAGATTATGGGTTCCCAGATGGGGAACCTTAGAAGTTCCTCAAAGGTCTGCAGGCACACCAACAGCCCAGCACAATTCCACCAGAGAGGGAAATCTGATGATGTTTCTTTGTGGACTCATTTCAAGAACTGAAGATGTTGGTTTTAAAATTAAGATTGTTTATAATATAAACATGGAGTGTCCCCTTTATACAGGGTAATAGGCTCATTTACTAGTATGGTCAATCAAATATTTATGTAATCAAATGAGGGACATGGAAAGGCTTGAAATTTGGCCTTAAACCAGACTTCCCAGATCTGTGGCCCTCCAGATCCTAGTGCAGCCAGGATGACTAGAATGACAGGAATTTTATCCAAACATTTGTGGAAGGTACCAGGTTGGGAAAGATTGTCCTAAATCAGTTCTGTCATAATATCTTTGTGGAATGATCCAGTAGCATAAATAAGCCCTTCTCAAAGTATCTGTGTATATGTATACCAGTTCTTAGGACTGGATCTTGGTAAGATAAGCTGTTCCCTTAGTGCTTGTTCATAATAAGTAACTTTCAAATAGCATTAAAATTAGATTGAAAACCTGGGATTGGTGTGAGTTCCTGTTCTTACAGTATATCACACACCAAGTGTTGTGATGCTTGACCATCCTGAGACTTTTATGTATAGGACAGGGTACAAAAGTTTAAAATAAAAAAATAATAATTCCATTTCTTGCCTTATGGTTTCCAGTTTGCCTTGATTCTTTCTTCTCACATTCCATTTGCCAGTTGTATGCATTGTCCAGCATCAGACTTTACTTTCACCTTTAAACTTCCTTTCAGTTGTGTCATTAGCAACAGTGCTATTTGTATTTGTCCCTTACTCTTCCCCAGTAGCTGGTTGAGTGCTTTCCAACCTGGGATTCCCATCTTCTGGAACGATCTCTTATTTAATTTGTGATTGTTTTATCACAAGATTTACAAGATAAGAATATTCAGAATTAGTTTACCATTGCCTTCTTCAGCACAGTACTCTCTCAAGTTAGCCTGAACTTCACTGCCATTGTCTACGAAAGATCCTCCACCATTATTGTCTTCAACTACCACTGGTGTCCAGTAGCTGCCCTCAAGAAGATTCTTCACCCTCATCACCATTAGAGATATCCATTCTCTTCTGCCGATGTGACCTCATTCCTGAAGTGGGTAGATGCATATCAGCTTTTACCATTCCACCTTGGTTGGCCCAGCTAGATCAGACCAGACGAATGAGGGAGTCTGGTCTCCTGATGCTTTTGGCATTTCTGGCGCTATTAAACTCCTTCACCACTTTAAAGTATATATCCAAGAAGGAATGGTAAGATGCCTACTTAGACATACATACATACATACATACATACATGTATTTATAGGCTGCCTTAACTGCCGAGGTGGATAATTTAGTTTACTGAGGCTCATTTCCAAGGAAGGTTGTGTAAGTTTGCAGTGAAAATCTACAATCCATTACTTTGTGGGCTTTACTGTCAAGTAAACATACATTAGATCAACTGCATATCAATTAGCGACTAAAGAACTGCACAGAAAACATTTTCTGGAGCAAATTAATAAAAGGCAGTTGCACTACTAAAGATTCCATTTTTTAACGAGTTGGCATTTATAAATATTCCATGAGAAGACAGTAATACAGTGTTTTTCCTATTTAAAATAGAAGAAATGGCCATTATCTCACTGATGGTTCTAGACCTCTGAACCTTTGACGGTTCACAGGTTGTATTAATCTTTATATGATGAATGCAGAAAAAGTGAACTACTCTACCTAGCTTGTCTATGCTTTTATAGTGTTTGAAGGGGGAGGGTCAATTGGATAATATTAATATTTTTGAAAATAAGGCTCTGCTTTATTAGAAACCTGAACCTTTATTCCTGGTTTACAGTACTTAAATACCATGCAAAATATATTTTACATTTGTGATGACCTGAACTTTCACTAGCAATGATAACTAAGATTTGGTTAGCATGACAGGAATATCATGTATATCATGATATTATATATCCTAAAATTGTATCTTACAACAATTCCTCTGTCATTTTGATAGCAAAAGTCCATCACCTTGCTTTATCTATTTTCCATTTGCTGCCTAATGCTTGGTGAATGGCTTCTTCTGGTGCATTTCATAGAATCACAGAATAGTAGAGTTGGAAGGGGCCATGAAGGCCATCAGGTCCTACCGCCTGCTGTTGCAGGACACCAAGTTACACCATCCCACTCAGTTGGCTGTCCAGTTTCTTTTTGAATGTCTCTAGTGTGGGAGAGCCCACCACCTCTCTAGGCAGCTGGTTCCACTGTTGTATTGTTGCATCTGACAAATTCAGGTCAAACAACTGTTGTTCATTATGCTTGTGTGTGTAAGGTGTGGCCCAGGAACCACATGTGCACTGGAAGGCATTTACTATGGCTTCCCATTGTTGTGCTGACCTCTCTGCCATCACAGTTGCTATTTCCCAGTGATCCTGACACAGTGTGCTCTTTTTGCTAGCAAAGGAAAGCTATTTATACCAGGGGTGGAGTTCTGGGAGGAGCACATTGCATATGGCTCCTGAAGCTGAAAAGATCCTGCAACCTAGCTGGAATTTTTTATTTATTTTTATTTTTATTTGTCTTATTATTTATATACTGTCCAATTCACATATGTATTTGTCTTGCAGGTATTTTAAATTTGTGAACCCTAGTTTATTGGAGACTTTTTCTGTTCAAGTCAGTGTTTTTCAAACACAGTACAGTGAAAGAACAGGAGTACCAAGTTTAAGTCTAATGCACTTCTGGAGATGCCTCCCAGTCTTATCCTCAAGTCAGGAAACCAAAAGATTAAAGTAAAGGAGATCCCAGAATTACATGGCCTATCAGCCACACTACTGAACTAGTCCAAGACTATCTCAATCACACACCTCATTACAAAAGCATGGTCCCTCTCTACCTTTGGTCACCTTTTCCAGACAACCTTTCCCCCACTGTTGTTCCTAAGATACCCCCAGAGTTGGCCCCCACTGCACAGTCCCCACTCGTCATTCAGCTTACACAGCCTTCCCACCCTTGTGTCCTTCCTAAAAAAATCAATGACCCATCATCAGCGCAAGGGTGCTACTGTTCTTTTTCTTCTTGAGGTCCTTCATCAACGATTTTCCAAATGCCACTTTCAGAGAGCAAAACCTGC